AAAATAATAAATGAATTTAGAAAACAATAATTGAATTACGAATAAACTTGTCATATGCAAATGTATACTTACAGAAGATTTCTAGAGCTATTCTTATGCCCTACCCAATCATCAAAATTTACACTTTATCATCGTAAAAAGTTATGAAATTCATGTAAGCCATTTAGGTTCGATGGTGTTTTCAAACACAAATAATTCAAGCCCCGTATGTTACTGATAATTCGCTCATGAAACTTCGTCAAAGACATCTTACTCGTTCGTACATCTCGATGGGTTTCTTCTATGCCACGGAGTTCTCGCGAATGACAAAATAAATTAGCTAACGCCTGGCACGTTCGAGTGAATTACGAGAGAATACTAAGGATGAGACATGCACTGGCAGTAAGAGAAAGGAGCTGCTGTTCTGTATTCCGTATAAGGTTTAATAGTCACTTTTTCTTTCTTATAAAGTGCCTGTTGTCAGCGCCTTACGCGCTAGTGAAACTTATTTTAATGCAACTTTTTTACTTTTAATGCTCATATTTCTATACTTTCAAGTACCATTCATATTACTAGTAAGTAATCTCGTTTTCTTAGTCTTTGGGATAAAAACTTTTCTCTAAATATGTTTTTTTCCGCTTATGAAATAAAGTGTCACGCAAAAAAAATATTTATGTCATTGAAAAATTCGTGTCAATTTTTCGATATTTACGTATATTTGTTTTCAAAATAATTTCAATTTTTAAAAATTTTTTTATTAAGTTCTTGCATAATTAATGATCTATTTTAAAATATTATTATTTGTCCTTGTTTAATATTATAATTTATATATAATTTATAATACAAAATACTACAATTAAACAATGAGATAAAGAGGCTACTATGTCTTGCTTCTAACTAAATTACTAGCCTGTGGAAAAAAATTTAATAGGAAAATACAATTGACAGAATTTATTTCACATGTTAAATAAATATACAATTTATTGTGACGATTTGATTATTTGCATTATATTACAACGAACATTTTATCTTTCATATGTCAATTTATCTATATATATATATAAGCCCAATTTAATGTAGATAAGAGCCATTCGCAGCATCGAGCAAAAAGATTTTATTCATCCTTTTTGCAAAAGCTAATCATTTCAAGTATTTGTAGAACATCCAATTTACATGTCGATAAAGGCAGATTAATCTTGAAATTTTAATTCGTTAAAAAATAAATTGTCAATATTTTAATTTTTCACTTAAGAAAAAATTAATAAAATCACACACAATAAATTAAAATTTTTAAAATAAATTGTGTATTTCCAAGTATTAACCAATTTTTTTTTTAATAATAAGCGTTTTAGAAAGCCTGCTATGTTTTTCGCTTTTGGAGTTAAATTTCTAAAATAATATTTGACAAGGAAATAATGGAATATTTAACAGAATGTGCGATTGTACCATGTTCAGCTTATTTTCAAAGAAAAATGATACCTGTTGTATAATAATTGGCTAATCAGTCAAAGGAAAATCCATGACTTACAGCTCCATATTAATTCAAAATTTCAAAATGAAGTTTCTCCAAAGTTATTCCTAGTGAAATGGAATCAATGCAAAAGAAACTATAAACTAAGAGCGCTTTTGAACATAGGAATCAATACAGGGCGCGAACCTCAAGAATGCCGCACTTGTAATGCAAGCTGCGCTCGAGGGTCGGCAACAAATGCCAACAGGCATTCGAGTAATTGCCGAGGGGTGGGCGTTGAACATCAATCAGTTGTAAAACCACCGCTTACGTGCGAATATGGATTCTAGGATGAGTCGCCTACGCTTTTCGATATGAGTGGAATTGGTTTCGAATATGCCTGCCTAATTCATCTAGCGGTTTTGTTAATTGTAGAAAAATACGAGCTTCATTGTGATTATTTGGAAGACTTTGTGCATCGTTTGCGAGAACAATGAGAGCCTTTTCTGTGCAACTCTGTAAGTTGTTATGTCAAGGTGAAATCAAGATTGGCTATTAGGCCAATCTTAATTTGCAGAAAATGCCATTTCCGTGAAAGATTCTTGGAATAAAAAGATCGACGTAAATTTCAATGCTTCGGCCATTATAAAACTTTTAATATATTTGATATTTTGAGCATTTACTATATTTTTATTATTATGATTATTTTGTATAAATTTGAGAGGAATTTTTAATATATCCGTTCTGATTATTATAATTAAATCATTCCTTTTGTAAACTGAATACTGCACTATGTTCTCAACTAAATCCAGCAAATTTCAATTTAGTTGTATAATAAACTGTACCGATAATTATTTAAAAAGTACTCAAATTTATTATTTCATGTGTATAGATCAAATTAATAAAACAGTACCTTATAATTGCATGTATCAAATTAATTATATATACGAAACAAATTAATTAAAAAAATACATATTATTTTTTAATAATAGTTTTATTTAATAATTAATCGGGAATTCTTATCAAAACATTGAATTTCATACATATTTTAAATGCAGTAATATAAATTGGATACTAGCTAAGATTCCTTCCATTCGCTAATTAACGTTATTATTAAATAATTAATTATATGAATATTTTTTGTTATCTTTGAGCTTACATGTTTAAATGAAAATTATCTTCATGTAAAATATCGATTTTTATCTTACATTTCGTTTTATTATAAATTATTTTTAAAAATTAAAACTGTTTAACATTATGGTTGAACGAATTTTATTATACGTTCTTCCTTATTTATTTACTGTATATAATGTTATGTTAAAAATAAACAAATTGTCCCAAATAACATATAGTGATTTACTTTCAAATTGTATACACAAAGTTAAAAAAAATTGAAAATAGAAAAACTTTGTTTCTAAATAAAAAGCAAAATATTTAGTATTAAACTTTGTAAATTGTCAAACATAATATATGTTTTACATTGTTAGGAGTATATTCTTAAAAAAAGTTAAAATGGTCCATTATTTTTTTTGGAAACAATGAGCAATTATATAGACTACATTCATTTCATTTTATAAATTCCAACAGATTTAATTAAATGTTTACATTATAATAAAAAAATTTTTTATTGAATTTTTTTGATTCAATAAATTTTACGTTACCACAATTTTTTTTACATATAAATTAAATAGTTAATTCTTTAATGGAAATGTAATATTAATTAATAAATAATTATGCTTTATTGTCTACAATTATTTATAAAATAACTTATATCGTAGTGTATAAATAATTTACTGCGTTATAATTATTTCTAATTGTATTTTGTATTTATAAAACGTTTGTGTAGATATATCAGAAAATTGATTTGAACAAAGCAGTTTTTAATGGAAAACGTACCATAATTTGTTTTTATGGTAGTAAACTAAAAAAGCAATATAACAATTTCATACAATAAAAAAATTTAAATATTGAACATGTCACAATATTTTTGTCATAATTATGTATTATTAAACAATTCATTGTGAAATTAGATACTTTAAACAAAAACGGATATGGTATTATCCATTGGTAAACACATTGGTCAACAAATTTATCCAATAACTTATATTACATATATGGAAAATAACATGTGTTTTTAAAGAAAACATCATTCAAAATTATTACTCCTTCTAACCTAGGTAATTATACAACAAATAAAATTACATTTCAGTCTATTTTTTATCATAATTCTTACAAGCTTTTTCATGTGTATCATTACGTACACCTCGTTCAAGCCTCAAAGTTGAAAGTTTCTTTGACGAGACGGCCGCTCTCTAGATAGCCTTATCGCTACATATGTAGTTATCATTAGATATCTTTAGTGACATTTAAATAATGAAATAGATCAATATTTTTAGGGAAATAATAACCCTTGAATATTATATTTACACATCTTTTCAAAATCGGAAAGATCCAGTCAATTGTTATTGACTTGAGATAAATATATTCTAAAGATTATATAGCAATCTATTCATAAAGTTGAATTATGAATATTAAATTTAAATATTAAATTAATATTAATAAATATTAATTTTTATATTAAATTTTAATTTTTTTTATTTAATTTTAATTTTTTTTATTTAATATTAATTTTTTTTATTTAATATTAATTTAACGTATTTATAAACTGTAAAAGATATGAGATTTTAAAGGAGTTTTTAAACAGAGAAAAACCTATTTTTCATTATACCTGCTTCTCAGAAATTTTCTGTCGATGAATGGAAATGTAAATTCAGAAAGAGATGAATTAAATTATAGGTAAAATGTATAACACTTATTAATTTCATATACTTCTGCTCTACGTGACAAGAAAAAATAAAAGGAAAAAGAGTGACATAGTCGAAAAAGTGTGTCGGGGAAACAAAAAACTTTATTAGTTTATAATTTATCTCTTTCCTTTTTCATCTTTAGCAATATCAATGATATAGAATACATTTTATGGAGGTGTTACTTAATCAAAAATAACGTGAAGCACAGTTTGTACATCATAAAATGTGTAGAATCATGAAGAAAATTAAAAAAGATGCTCTCACTCTTACATATAGATAGAATTAATATATTTGTTTTTTTTGAGTGTTGTATATTACAGCTGGAAACACATAGAAATGTGTCAATATGTATGCACGCATATATTTCAGTTTTACGGATATTACTAAGAATATGTTTTATCAAGTTTCTTTTATAATTCAAAATGTCGTCACATGTTTGCAGTTAACATTTGCTGTGCTATTAAAACGGTGTTGGAGGACATAATCGTCAATGGAGCTTAAAAATAACCTTGTTTTTACAATCATTACAGATTTAAAATAAAGATAAAGAAACTCATCTGGTAAAAAAAATATAATAATTTATTTAGCAAAAATTTGGAAATTAATAATTCGTATCAACACAGAAATTTAAATATACAATAATATTATTTTACGGATTGATGATACAGGTGTTTATGCAATGTTTTGACTGAACACCAAGATAGGGAAAACACATAAATTATATACCACATAGTTTAAATTATATTGCTTCTCGTATAATTTTATTGGTCATTCTTCGATAAATTTGTGAATGGCGTGTTAAGTCTTTTGAGCCTCGTATTAATTGAAAATGAGATCCAACCATTTTTCTCCAGCAGTTTTATTTATTTATCTCACAATTTTCAACACTATTTCAGCAAGTAAGTAGTACCAGAAGTATAATTTTTTCTAAAGATTCGTTTCATCAACTACGGTAATGATGTTTACGTCTCATATGTATGATGTATTAAAAAATAATTAATATTCATAGTATATTTCTATAATAACATTATTTTATGTATAAATTATTTCTACCAATTATTTGCATAATTGTTAAAAATTATTCAAATAAATTACAATGAATCTTTTAAGGAAATTCTAATGTAAATTTCAGCATTAATATGTTCAAATATATTCATTGAATTCTGGCATATCTGAACTAGTAAAAAATTAAATATTGTTAATAAATATTTACATCTCAAAGTTTAATAAAATCGTGATTTGCTACAAATTTTCCAATTCATTTTAAATTAGTTTTATCAATTTTTTTGGATTTACATATTGATATTTAAAAATACTTACATACATTTTCTGTAAGCATTATTTTTTGGTGGTTTATGAATATTATATTTGATAATCCAATAATATATGCTTATTCTGAAAAAGTCCAGTAAAGTGATAATTATATATAAAATTAATTAATTATTTATTAACTGTATACGATGAATAAATATATGAGAAATGAAATGGTGGTAATAATGCATGTTCATTCTCCATCATTATTTAAAGTTAATGAACAAATAGTTTATAATATAAATAAATAATATTAATTCCAAAGCTTTTTATATTTTTAACATCAAATTATAAATTATATAATTCATTTTTCAAATTATATATTTTTATGCATTACAAAATTTTATTGTTAATGTACACTGCAGAATATTGATTCAGATTAATACACGAGAATTCATACTTGAATCCATTTTTTATGAATGCTTTATGATTGTGTAAAAGTTTTCTAAATTATAAAAATATTTTTCTATATTTTTTAATTAGATAATTTGAATCTGCAACATTTCATTTTTATATAAACGAACGTAATATTAATTTTATTGTAATATAAGTAAAAAGCATTATATTTTATATGGGTATAATTAAAAAAAAAAATAAATAAAAACTAGTATTCATCATTTTCCTTAGATTTTTTAAATTATTAAATCAATTTTTAACAAGATACGTTTTAATATACGCATTAAAAGCTAAATAAAAACTTAATTCATTTTCATGATAAATACTACAGTATATCGCATTATAGACATATTAACCAAATATAAAATTAATACACAAAAAAGAATTATTATAAATTCATCCATAACTGTCAGAGTAGAATCAAAACAATAGTAAATTTTTTATGAAGATAAGAGGGTTGACATCAAATAGTGTTATCATTTCTTTTTTAAAGGCATAATATAGATAGATACATTAATAATGAAAATAATTTAATGAAGTTATCTCATAAGTCTTAAACGAGCAAAAAAATAAGTCACTAAATTAATCAAATATTTTATATGTCTTATAGAGTATAATTATAAATTGTCTTCTACTATTTACGAAACTTTATCATTAAGTATTTTATTAAAATTATTCCTTATAAAATTTTTTAAGAGAATAAAAAGTAATCAATTAATACCAATTATGTATTATTTACAATTTTAAGCCATTGGCTGTTATAATAAATATTATATGCTTAAACATTATGACATTTTTTTCTTTAATCATAAAATTTAGCTTCTACATATAATGTAGATAATATAATTTTTATTGTGATTAAGTAAGAAATATTACATATTGGAATTATGGATACAAATTTTTTAAAATGTATACATACGAATCTTAATGAATAATACATTTATCTAATTAAATATCTTATTAATTAAAATGTACCTTAGTTATAACATAACTTATTTATTTTAATATTTATTTAGACATAATGATATTTGATATAAATACTATTAAGGTATTTTTTTATCCTAAAATCATCCGATGATATTTCTTATTTTATCAAAACAAAATAAAAAATAATAGTATTAAGAATATAAATTATTTATAACATAAATATAAACATAAATATAAATACTGTGTCAGTATTGTATAAAAAATACTTTGCATAAACCACATTCAGTTTTATTAATAAATAAATTATTAGAATAATAAAATCTCAGTATTTTAATTGAAAGAAAATTATACATAAATGGAATAGAATAAAAAAAGGAATAAAATAGGAATAGATTTAAAAAAAGTTTAATATGATAATATATTCAATAATTCAGATATAAAAAAATTATAAATTAAAAGATATTGTATATAAAACATTTTCAAAAGAATAAACTTTTTGTATCATGAATTTTAAATTACTGTACTTACATAGTTTGATCTAAATGTGTGCAACGTATAATTACTTAGAAAAAGTATAACTTATGTAATAAATTTATCGCTTGTCCATGGAAGAATCTATAGTCGGTGATCAATGCACGGTGAATGTGAAAAATGGTATGAACCGCGAACATCCCCCGATCGTGGTGAAACTCTCTAAGCCACCGATGTACGTCTACCCGAAGATGTCGAATGCCTCGAGCCTCGTGTTTCAGAAGGGGGAGAAGGTTATGGTGTTCTGCCCTGGTAGGACTAACCAAAATAGCACCGCTGTATTAAAACCGGAAATAGTGCTGGTGCATGGTAAAGAGCCAAAGACGCCGGAATCAATGGAATCGATTATGTGTACGGGCGGCGATAAGTTTAAGATAGACGACGAACTGGACATATTCAAGCAGATCAGCTGCCATGAAGAGCCACGAATGAGCTACAATGCAATAATGCAAAATGTCAATGAAGACTGTGTGAATGGACAACGTTACGAAATTGGCTTTGACCTGAAAGAGCATGGATTCCTCAAGACAATCGACCTCTGTCACGATAAAAAAATGGCCAGGACCCTTTGGGCCCACGCCATTATCCAGCCCACCGATCAGGATCAATTCCGGTACTCGGGGGACGGTGCCAAGTCCTTTAAGGCAGGCTGTCTTTACGATAACATGCAAATGTCCAAAAAAGAACCGTACAATCTCAACGTCGCATACAAAACTATTAGCATCATACTCAAGAACGCCACAGCAGTCAATAAGTATTTGTCTACAAAGATAAGTATGTACTTTACTTAAAAGGGTTTTCGAGTTATTACCGACATGAATGGTAGACGCACTTATGATTATAGCATTGATAAAGTAACCGTCAATGATGAATCAATTTTAAAAAATGCAATAAAATAAAGATCTACTGATATTAACTTGAGTCACGCAAATCTATGAAAATATTCCAAATAAAGTATAAGGTTATTTATCGCTTAGAAACAAAATACATTTTTATTGAAGTTATTCAAATTATAAAATTTGATAATGGATTTGTACAAAGCTCGAATAATGATAAATAAAATAACTCTTCAGTATTAAAATGTGTAAATTGAAATTTATTAAACAACAATTTTTTAAAATTTGTTCATACATTAAGTATTTAATTTTTATATAAGTTTTATAAAATAATTATTGTCAAAATATATGAATCATAAATGCGAATTACTATTTATAAAGGATAAAGTTTCCATATAATAAATTAATACATAAACCTTCAAACTGCTTAAAGTAAAACGTATAACTTTATTTTATTATATTAAAAAGGTTTTATTTACATTTGAATGATAAGGAAATTGTACGTCTCTTTCCAAATTTGGAAGCATTAGATACATATGATACCAATTTTCCCTGCTAATAATGTCAAGTGACTATAAAAGTAAGTAAACTATAAACTTCCTGTTGGCAGATGAGAGAAAATTCTTAGCGAAAGGCCACTTGATTGCAAATGCTGATAAAATGTACAGAAGCGAGCAGGAGAGCACGTACTTTTACGCAAACGCAGTACCAATGTGGCAGCAAGTGAATGCCGATCCTGGTAATTGGTTTTTTGTAGAGAAATACGTGCGCCTACTAGCCTTCCATAAGCAGCACGAACTCGAGGTTTGGGTTGGAGGTGTCAGTACCCTGCAACTTGAGAATAAGGAGATCTACTTGTACTACGAAAAATCGCCTGGCAAGAAAGTCATCGACCGTCGGATACCTGTGCCCAAGGTCATATTCAAGTGTGCCGTTGACAAGGAGGCGAAGGAGGGCCTTTGCTTCCTCGTGATTAACAATCCGTACTTGACGAAAACAGAGGTAGAGGCCGCAGGTGACAAATATATCATCTGTAAAAAACATTCGTTGTGCGAAAAATTGACAAACTATGACAACGGAGCGCTAGGCTATATGTACTGCTGCAGTATTCAAGACTTTTACGTAAAGAATCACGAGGACGTAGGCGTCGAGGACCTTAAACAGTTCCTGAATTTCAAACCGATGACACTCCTGACCAAGGAGGAAATTCAGATTAGTTGAAATCGAGGGAATACCTTCTATTATTAAGTCTATTATGTTGCATTTTTATTTTATGTATTTCTGAATATATTAAATTATATGTAATAAAATCATAATTATGTAGAAAAATATTATCTGTCTTTTGCTTATCACAAGATACACAATCGAAAAATAATAGAACTGAGTTATCCAAACATGAAATACTAAATAATTTAATTCATCCCTCACATCTTTAATTTACTAAACAGGATGTTGAAAAGAAATATTAACTTTTTAAGGATTTTTATTGCATTATAATTTAAATTTTATAGATATGCGAGCTTGCCTAACATTTTCATATTATGTTTATACAATTTAATGTTAAAATAATTAAAAATTAAAAAAAAACTATATTTTACAAATCATTGAAATTACGATAAAATTATATTAACTACGATCTCAAACTTCCTTATATTGAAATCAAAATATAAGAATTGTAATTTTTGCACATAATAACTTTCATTATAACTATAATTTAGAACGAATAATATAAATTAGCATATAAATCCTACTTACCTTACTTATTTTAATCCTATAAACATAAGTTTTTCCCAGTAATTATCTGCTATTACATGTCAACTATTCAAATAATTCTATTGTATTATGAGAGACAAAATTTCTTGTTTATATTGACAAAAATAAGGGATAAATAGAAAGGATTTTATTTAATAAATAATAATATAGTTTATGGATAGATATTTACATTGATTTTATGTTTCAAAAATATATTCTTCATTTATATTTAGTAAAAATGCTGTAATTAAATGAATAAATATGATGAAAGATAGAATATTTATATATAAATTTATTCTTTAATATTCATGAACGATAGTCTATATATTAATTATAATGAAGAATATTCTAGAAAGCTTTTATGTGTGATAATACGATTATGTTAAATAAATATATATATAATAAGTATATACAGTAATGCTATTATTACAATTGTAATAAATTACAGTAGGATTAAAAACATTTATATAAAAAAATATTTATAATTATACAAAATAATTTTATGACATTATTTATATAGAGTGATATGTTTAAACTGCTTTTATAATTAATAATTAAATGTATAATAAGAAGGTATAATATGCATAATTTCAACGATAAATGTACCAATTTTGTTTCCTTTTGGTTATAAGCCAATTATGATTAAGGATTTAGACAATATATTATTTTACTAAAATAATAATTCGATAATTTCATAAATTCGACTATTTTATTTGCTTTAGAAGTTCGATAAATAATATAAAACAATAAATTTAATTATTGAAAATATCATTGAAAAACAAAATTAGATATAAAATACATTTATAATTTGTAATTTTTTTATTGTTAATGTTTAATATGGTATATAATATAATTTAATTTTTTATAAATTAATAGTAAATGCCATTTTATTAATTTAATTACTCTCTTAATTTTGTTGATGTAAACTTAAAATTTCCTTATTATACAATTCTATAAAGAAATTTTTTAAAATATTCCGTCTAAATTTGTTGACACAACTAATTAGTTTATCAATTTTTTATTCATATATTCAGAATTTGATTGCACAAGTAATATAATTCACTTAATGCATGTTAAATCAATAAACTAAAGTTTTTACTACATAAGAGTAACCTATTTATCGCAGAAGGAATACACAATAAAAAATCGTTAATTAGAAAACAGTTCACAAAAAGCGATCGCGTCATATAAAAATTCAGGATAATTGTACAAAAACAATTATCGATTGAGCAATATCATGAATTTTCTCTCTTAGAAAAACAAACTGAGTCTATTGTTAAATTTTACGAAGTAGTTTTTTATTTTTTTAATTTTTTTATTTTTATATTGATTGTATTTGAATATGTTGCTAGAAAATAATTTATCCTTGGTACGATATCATGATAAATATAAATTTAAAATATTATCGATATTTATACATTTTATTTAAGAAATATATCATTATCTTTCTCAAATATTTTTGTAAATTTTAACTAGTGTAATTATGTTTCCCTTTGAGTTTTAACATTCACTATAATATTGTAAAGTTGTAAATTTTGGAATATTTAAAATTCTTTGTTATAACTTCTTTTTAAAGCGATCATATCGTATGAAATATACACTAATAATAATTACAGCAAAATAATTCATATACTTGCAATATCATATACAACCAGGTGAAAGCATTGTCTTAGAATAGAACCTAAGTACATGCATTCGCTCAGAATATGAACAAATCCAAAATAAAATAAACAACAATTATCGACAATTTTTTATATTATATATTTCCATATAATGGAAATTAAATTTATATTATTCTTTGTATTATACATTCCATTGTAAAGTATGAAATACATATTAAAGGCAAAATAAACAAATTATGGAAAAACAAATAACTATATTAAAAGAGTATGAAAATTTATTATTGCTATGGTAATTTAAGTCATATTAACATTCATCTTGAGCATTATAATAAATGTATAGTTATAAAGATTTCATTGACAGAATATCTGTAAAGGTATGATTTAAGGTAAGATGTAAGAAAAGCACTAGATATTGATTATTATTGAGCAAAAGCTGCTTCTTCTTGGCATCTCAATTTTTCTGACGTTCTATCCTTGAGGTATTAGAAGGTCATTTAAGAATGTAGGCTCTGTTAAAAAATGAAACTATTTCTATTATTTCGAGTATGAATCCATCGCCATCGTTATCTTTGATTCGTGAGCCCCACCTATCAGTATAACCACAGTATTTTTATTTTTACCGAAAGTCTTAGTTCTTCATTTATTTAACATCCACATAAAATTGATTCTACATTCATGTACGTACTGCGAACATAGTTTCTGCAAAAATAATGTGTGCTTTGTCCGATTCTTTTTACTATTATCAACCGATCCTTTTAATGTCTTATCATCTATCACCTACTTTTTCTTCGTCGGCTCGCTTTCTGTACAAATTAGTTGGATAAGACAATCTGATGAGTAACTGATGATATTGTTAGTGTAAACTTAACATTGATCTAGAATCTAAAATTCGGGTCGTATTCGACAATTGGTTGAATGGGAAAGTCTTTTCTAAAGTTTTTGATAATATGGTTAAATATATAAATTTTCATACATGCACTCGACAATATTTTGTATATTGTTCATTACATATAGTAGTATTTTAGTGTTAATAAAAATAAAATTTAAAATTTTATATTTATTATATTGATGCAACGATAATGGAAATACTATGCAAAGTTGAATTATTTACTATTATAAATAACCAAAAAATTGTATAGTAGTATTAAATAAAAAATTTATCTCAGTTTCAAGTACAACGTGAAGAAAATAGATAAAATTGTTAAATTGTAATAAATATACTTCCAAATAAATAGTATTGCAGAAATTAATTCAATTAACGTATTCGTTAAGTCAATTGCAAAGTAACATATTTTGGATCTGACATTAGGTTGTTAGATAATTAATTGAGATTGAATGATTAAAAAGCTGTATGTAAGAATATGGTATAAATTTTTATTCATAAAGATTTATATTCGCGTTTGGAATTTAATACATTTTTTCTATTAAAAGTTCATTGATTAAACAAAGATGTATTTTAAGAAAAATTTGTTTTTATGTAAATACGTATCATATTATAAATAGTATTTCTTTTCTAGTAGCTGTAAAATTTGAAAACTTTATCTAATAATTTATGATAACATAAGAGTATATAATTAAAATTATACATTGTATTACTTTTTTAAGTACTATATTTTTTCTTATGTGTTATGTACTACACTTACGTGTTATATAAATAATTAATTATAATGTTTCCACGGCGTTACGCACTAATATATGAGTTAAATTTTATAGTTAATGCATATATGTATTGTATTTCTATAACAAAAATTTAATAAAAGTAATTATAATTTTATACATATTGTCTATATAATAATCTTTTACTTTATACATTTTACCTTGTAAAAGAACTACAGTAATCTTTTGTTATTTATAAATCTCTTTGAATTTTCAATATCCCATCATCCTTAGCTTTCAAAGTACAATATTATCTGTAAATAAGACAAATGCATAAATTGAATTAAAATGAAATCCATAGTATACAGTTTTTTTTAGAATTTATCTTTGACCAATATATTTTATTGTGATATCATTCGCATTAGGGCTTTTAGCTATGATTTTTCCTAGAATAACAATATTTTTTTTTTAATAAGCGCGATTAGAATCGGCCTCTTTTTATTTCCGGAATAGCGTTGATTAGAGTATCAAGTAAACTCCTAATTGATCACTACTCCATGTGAACAAGATTTACTCGAAAGTAAGTAATAGAAATTAATATAGAAATATTTACGTAACATGTACAGAAAAAAATTTAGCCGACGATAAGACAGCAAATAAAAGGACGAAGATTCTGTGGAGAACGACAAGTGTCTCAACAGCTGTGAGCGATTTTACAGCTCGCGTACCGGGTTTTGTATACTTGTTAAGATCGTTGCATAAGTTAAAATGTGCAAGTTTCTCATTTCCACTATTCTATGTTCTCTTTCTTTTTACATTCCACCTGCTCGTAAGTGCATAATAATATTTGAAGATCTTTTTGTACAATTATATAAGAAATTGAATTAGTGAAAAAGAACCTTATACATGTTGTTTATCATGGGGCTTGAATATAATTCAATTAAATAATTAGAATATAATCCAAAATTTAATTACTTCTTGGTATATACTCGATTTGACATTTAATATTAATTACCAAGATGTAATTTGAACTGTTTCTCTATTATATTTTTGATATTTATTTCTTAATCTATTCAACATTGTAAAGTTGCTCATTAATTCATCGACATACATAATGTTCATAAAGAACAATTGATAAAAGTCCCACAATCAACAGGATCAACTTACTGTTGGATCGACGTAAATAAAGATTTTAACGAGAGGCAGCCATTGGTATTGCAGTCAAATTCAAATGAATTTCTATATCCTTCGAAAAGTTTTTCGAGTGATTTAAAATTTACATTCTGCGAGAGTCTGCGTATTGCATGTCCCCAAGATAATATCACTGTTTTTTCATCGAAACTGAATATTTCTGAAGCCACACTTAAGTGTTATGGACTTTTATTTTTCAATGTGGTAAATACAGCTTTATTTTAAATATAGTTAGTATTTCGTAATGATCGAAGAAAATGAATTTATGAATTCCAATCAACATAAATATTCTAGAGTAATCATTTTAAATAACTAAGCTATATATAAGTTAACGTAACTCTAAATTAAATTAGAATTTTGTAAATAATTTATATTAATAATCTTAAATCTAATTATGATACAAACTTCAATATATATGATAAATATACGTGAAGTAGTAAAAATATTTGAATAGCCAGATGTATTCATTTCACATCATTGTAAATTATCTTGATGTTAATTTATCAGATGTATATTGAAACTTGTTTATTATGAAAATATTTTACGAAAATGTTGAAATGTGTTATTCATTTATGTCATTTCAATAAAAAAAAAGTAATATATAGTATACATGAGATACAATTTTAATTGGGTAACAAATGTTTTCTAAAAAAGAAAAAAAAATATTATTACGATCAACTAATAATTTAATATATTTCGTTTTACATTTATTTCATTTTATCATTAATTTCTCATTATACATATATTTAAAATTTTATTAATATAAATAAGTTTAAATATTAAAATGTATTGGCTATATTTTAGAGTTAATAATTAAATTATGATAATCTTATAATTATTAAATGTTTTCAACTTAACACGAGTATTTACTATCTGAAAATAAAATTTTATCTTAAAATTATATTATATTAAAATTAATTTTATATAATTTATATTATTTAATAAAAATAATATCGCAAAATATAATTTTTACGAAATTTAACAATAAAATATCTTATATGCATAACTATTATTCTGGAATATATGTTTACAATGACATTAGTATATATAGAATTTGATAGTAGGTATTATTAATATTATATTTTGTGCATTTAAACTAATAGGAGAAAAGCCTACAATCTCATAAAAACAAATAAAAATTGTTTCTCCTTAAAAGTTACCTTTTCTGTAAATTAATTGCTCTTCAAAGTTAAACGCTTTAAAATCTTAAGAATTATTTATAAATTATTCTGTTTCTACCATTAAAACACATTTAAAACTGGAACCTAAGTACATGCTTATTTTTAGGCGTTTTATTTTTAGAAAGATGATGCAAGTACAGATATGTTATCATTTATCGTTGTACTCAGTCAAGTATGACTATCTTATATTCTACCTTAAAATTAATAAGCTACAAAAAAACTTATTTTGAAGAATTTTTTTATTTTATCAGTATATTATTCTGCATGAGAGCATATTGCAATAAAAATAAAAAAGTAATGAAATACCGTAAAAAAATGTAATTACAGGCAGGGACTGGCTATAGTGCGCCAGTGAAGCGCATTAGTTGTGCGCAGCCCCCTCTAGCAGAAGCTAACACCACAAGTATCACCTGCCCGAATGGCACTATCGCCCACATCGGTTTCCGATTGCAGAACTCTGGTTTTCTACCAACAATTGATGAGATTTGTCACAATGAAACATTAGGTCAGACTCACTGGGCCCACTCGAAGGTTCCCATATCGATTCGTAAGCGTCAACGCGAACTCGGACTACCTACATACTCCACCGGTCCCTTCTATCAAAATATCAGCATGAACCCTTGGATTTTCACCAAGCAGAACCAGCAATCGAGACTCCGGACGCTACTTAACAGTACAGCATTGGTTGACATATACATTCCGAATGCTGGTAAGTTGGGGTTCCAGGAAAAGTAAAAAAATTTATTAGGGCTGATTAATTAAATAATTAACCGTTATTAAACATTATTTTAATCAGTTAACAAAAAAAAATATATAATAAAATCATTGAAGCAAGTGATTTGTCTACTTATAATTTAAAACATAATAAGTTATAAGAATAATAAAATTATTTTATCGACGGTACGATTAGTATTTATACAAATCGAGGTGACATTAAGAGATAATAAATATCTTTCCAGGTGACAGTTACCTTGTCGAGAGTATGTTGGTTCCTAAAGAAGATATGTTCTATCAGGCACAACAGCGCAGCACTTTCTTTTATATTAATACAGTGCCCGTGTGGAAGAGTATTAGAGACCAAAATTGGAATCTAGTTGAGCAAATCGTCCGAAAAGTAGCCAGTAAGCAACCCATCGAATTGGACGTATGGACCGGTGGTATCGGTAATCTTACCCTCAATAACTCACAAGGTAAGGAATGGCATATTTATTTGTTAACTGGATCGTTCATAAAAATGGTTCATAAATTTAGTTATTTAAAAATATTTCTTATAAATATTTCTAAATTTATATAATAAATATCAATTTCATGAAATGAACATTTTAAAAGTAAATATATTTTAAAAGTAAAAATATTAAATTATTTTCGTGCATGTACTTATGAGTATAAATTCCTAATTTTATAATTTTGATAGTACTTTTATATTACAAAATAAAAAAGGTGTCTTCCATAATGCGGATATAGTTTGAAAGATATAATTTTATATAAATAAGTTGCAATTCTCTGATGTAATTATGTATTACAACATTACATCATCGGATAGATTATTTTATTATTAAAAACTATAATATTACGCATCAATAAACGAAATTACACTTTAAGTTTGGGTGAAAATAAATTAGAAACAATGTAAAAATATCTCTTTTATCATGCAAGATAATGAAATGGGAATGCTTAAAACGACAAACTATTATATGAAAAAAACAAAAAATAAAATTGTGACATGAGAACAGGTAACGCGACCACCATTACACTGGCAACAAACGGAGAAGGAAACGACGTAGTCCCGGTGCCTCGCTTCCTCTTCAAGTACGTGATGAACAAAATTGCGAATACCGGTATTGTTTTCATCACAGTGAATAATCCCCACGTGACGGCCATCACAGTTTCGGACATACTCTGCCAAACCTACGCCAAGTGTGCTATACTTTATCCACAATTCAACATCGCCATCCAGGGTTACACCTATTGCTGCACCGTTGATTCTGGCAGTCAGTTTTTCAATATTGCTGACAATCTTGGACTCCCGACTTTCCCCACCGCCCAGCCTCTAATATAAGATCGGATTATTGATAAAGTGCGTTATTGGGATGTTTGTTATCCACAATGGCTTGTCAACTTCGTCTGTGATTTGCTTCGTTTTAACCAGCAATTTTGTGTGGATTAATTTTAACTTCATTTATTTTCTACAATGCACACGACACAATAGGTGGTACAAAGTTGCAGTCCATATTTCTATCTGATATATGTTAGAAGCAGGTGGTACAAGATGTAGTAGAATGCTTACATCACAAAATTAATATATTTTTTCTGCTATTCAAAGTACCAAAATCTAAAATCAAATTCTAATAACCTTTTAAATTCAATATGCTTTAATAAATGTTTAATAAACTTTAGTAAATAAGGAAAGACAATTTAATAATAAATGTTAAAATTTATAAAAAAATAAAGTCGAAAAAATGTTTCAATTAAATTTTTTATGTATACATTTATATAAAGGAGAGGAATTTTTTATCTATATATAGTAATAAAATATCTATATAAAATCTTAAAACTCTTATTTTTTGAAATGAAGAAATTTATGAAGGTAAGTAATACATTTAAATGTTTGCTTAAGCATTTTGAAATTTGTGATTTATTTTAATTATTATAATGAATGATTCTTAACATATTACTTTAAATAAAATATTATTTCTTTATGAATAAAAGAACGTTAGATATCAAATTAATTGCAGATAAATAGTAAGTTAAGACAAGACTATTAAATATAACATTGTTTGTATGTAATTTTACAATTCATACAAATCCATTATAGTTTTACATATGATTCTATTCATTTATTAAAATATTTCCGAAATTAGACACTATGCGATTGTAAATGTTTCAAACTGAATATTTAATACGAGTTTTATTGAAAAATGGTTGAACGATTGTTTTAGGCGAAAAATACGTACAATATTACTTTAAACTAGACTACAACACTTAATAATAATATTTATGGTAGGATTGAAAAATTGATTTAAAATACGTTTTGTAAACTTTGTAAGCAAAGCGGTAATCAAAATTATCTAAATGTATACACGAATCTAAGCTTTAATTTATATATAATTTAAATATTTGTTATTATTATAATAATTAATATTCAATTTTGGAATAAACAGAAATATTACACATAAGTATATTACATATAAAATAAAAATATCATAGATTGAAAGTTTTGAAATTAAAAAGCTGATTTTGGCTTGGAAATCATAGATTGAGCTGTTAAAATATGGGCCACATTAGTACAATTATATAAAGTGATATAAAAGAGTATCGGAAAGATTATTTTTGCTAATTAATAAAGAATACACTATTATCGGTAAATTGATATTTAAATAACTGTTTTCTTTTTATTGGTTTTTTACAATTTTTGATAAATAGACTTACTCTGATGGCAATTTATTATCAATTTTATTATTTAAAGTATTGTATATCAACTACTAAATATAACTTAAATAGATATGTTTATTTAAATAATGAATAAATAAAACTTCAAATTTTTGAGAGTGATGAAATATAACATTATTGTACTCACATATTAATATAGTAATATAATATATTTAATAAAATATACAAATTAACACGAAAACATTATCATACTTTAGTTATTAATTTTTATTAACATCTGAAATATTTTACATTGTAATATTTATAACATTGCTGATTTTATATAAATTTGTATTTTAATTGTTATACGGCTAAACAATGTTAAACACTGCCGGCACTGTTACATGAAAAACATTATTGAAAATGTATATAAATATGAGAAACACCTCATGGAATTAATTAAAATACTTTTTAATTTAATTTATTTTAAAATTTGCTTAGAAAATTCAGCGTTTTAACACAGTTCTTTACAAAAATTTTGTTATTAAACGTGCATAATTTGTGACTTACGATTGTACCAACATCGAATACTTTTTATAGTGCTATTGTTTAATAATAAATCTCTTGCTCACAAATTCTTATGCATAGGTATTTAAATTGAATGTGGTAATATAAATAATTTTATAAATTCCTAAATGAATTACAGTTTATATTATAATTGATAAAAAAGTGAAAGTCAAATTTTTTTACGATTGTATAACAAATATAAGACCTATGCTATATTAATGAACCAATTACTTTTAAGACAGTGTTTTTAAGAACTTCTGATTAAATTAAAACATTTTTAATAAGGCAACGTTTGCTGGCTGAAAATTCAATGTCTCTCAAGGGAAATTATAGCGATATATTTATTATATAAATTTATTTTTTATTTTGAGATGTTTTATTTTTATTTATTAATTTTTTAAACATTGATGTTTTTTTATTATAAATTAGGAAAAATGTTTTAATTTACTAATAAAGAATTGTTAAATCTAGAAATTCAAATTCAAAAATACATAATTTTTTATTAATAAAAATAAAGTACAGTATAGAAAAAATAAAATTAAAAATTAAACTTTCTGGAATTTCTAAATATGTTTATTTAGTGTATTTACAAATATTTTGTTAATATATTGTTCAAATATAAATTAATACGTAAATTATCGCATTATTTTATCTTTATTTGAGAGAGAAGTGTATTTTTTAATATAATTTAAAGCATTCAATTTTAATGTTAATTTAATCATTTATTATAATAATTCTGATATTCTTATAATAAAACATTCAAATAATTATATACTATATTTCTAAATGAAGATCCTTCATTCGTAACCTATTCTCCACACAAATATAGTTTTATTTTAGGATCATTATTATTCTACAATTATTTAGGAGTTAATGAATTTAATTGTAAAATTAATTACATTTATTTTATTATAATCCATTATATTTAAATATTCTAATTATAATAAACAATTTATATTCAACGTATTTTAGTTGAAGAGAAATTGTTTTTTTTTTAAGTAATACCACGTATCAATATAATCAAAACGTAATATCACTTAGTTTGCGTTCACTTATGCGACGGCAATAAACGAATGTTTATTTAGAGCAGTTATACAATTTGTAAACCTGGGCAGTTAAAAAATGTGCGCCCAGCAGTAATATCTCAGAAAAAATAGCTCGCAGGTTATAATCTTATAATTCTTTACACGATTCTTTTTATTTGAGTTGTTAAGTATAATAATTGTAAAAAACTGCTTCTTATGATTTTTAATGAAAAATTATGTAAATTATATCCACTTTCTTTCAAGTAAAACAAATATTATATAAGTACAAAAAATTCCTATGACTTATCGCAGTAAGTCGTATTTAGAAAAATTGATATTTACAATTTTACTTTTTGAAATGTCAACATACATTTTATTATTTCTATCGCCCGTAGTATTAATATTTAAAAATGGATATTCATAGGTTATGAACTTTGTAATAGTAAAATACATTTTATTATTTCTACCTCTTATAACACTAGCAATTTGAAGTTTTAAATAGACACAAAAAATCAAATTTGCTCTTATAATTTCATAATCACTCATAAACAGAGAAATGACACAAGCATATGAACACGAAAATTAATTTATTTATACTTAATAATTTAATTTAATAATTTAGATTATTATTACATTAACAGTTTATTTTATAAATAAATGTAAAATTATTCAATAATATAAATGGTAATAAAAAATTATTATTCTTTACATATTTAATACAAATTATTTTCTGGTAAAACCTTACCAATTAAAATTATTGCAATCAAATTTAGATTATTTGTCCTTTAAAATGGAATAAAGGAAGTAGTGCAAATTAGGCAAAATCAAATTTAGCATTAAAATATCAACATGCTTCTACCAAAACCATATTAAGTACGATTCATCTTCTACGATGAATAAACAAATACTATACAAACTTTCTTCATTTATCGAAAAAGGGGTATTGACAATATATTTGCATTTTTAAGTATTCATTGTTGATTACCCGTGTATATTAGTATTCTTCATGGAAATGTTTCAGATTCTTTTAATTCTATCAATGTAGCGGTTAATATTGCTAAGAGCACAAGCATCGTTTTCAACGATAATGGCCTGATGCTATTAGACTCATTTAAACGGACGCGGAAATTCTAATTTCATTAGATATAACTTTGTTACAAGTACTACTGTCACAATTACAATTGAATTATACGATAATTAAAACTACAACCTTTAGAACAACATTCGGTGGTATTATAGAAACTAACACAGCTGATCCTTTTTTATTTTAAAATAGCTTTAATTTTGTATATATTTTATAATTGACAATAAATTAGTAAAATGTAAAAACATGAGTATAATGAAATACAAATATAATGTAAGGTTATTATAATAATGTAACATTATCAATTTAAAAATGAATTTAAAAGTTTGGTTTAAAAGCATGAAATAGAAATATGTAATTATTTTAATTAACTCATTTTGCCTAACTAATATAAATATAATCATTATGTTGATTAAATACAATAATTTTTAATATAATAGTTCAAAAGCAGACATTATTAATATAACCATAACAGTAAATTTGAGAAAATTTGGTCTTACTTAATAATACGCGAGGATATTAGCATTGGTTAAAAGGTAACTGAAAAAATTTAATTAAATCAAATTTTGATATCTACTTATTACGACGACTAAAATCAATACTTGGCAGAAATTTTATTTTTTAATCGATATAAAATTATATTTGTTTTTAATATCATTGTAGCCATGAATAAAAGTATGCAAATTGTAGCTTGCAAAAGAGAACATTTATTTAAGATAAATATATTCAGTGCAAAAATGATAAACAATTTAATTCTGAATGCCTATTAAAGTATATATTTTTTTAAACGATTGATTCTTTTTTTGCGTATTAGAATTTCTATTTAGATTTAGATTTTTATGTAGATTATGATAATGCATCATTATTACATTATTCAAGTGTTTGCTTTAAAACAATAATTTCATTCTATACAAATTAGTCGGTATTTTTTTTTTACTCTGTAATATTTTTCAATAAAACAAATTGTGCATGTGCTTATTCATTTTAATAACAACTGTCGTTATGGATATATTTACTAATATTACGTTATTGGCACATTTTAAGTAGTATTATTAATATTCTTAATATTATTAGTATTATTGTTATTATTAGGATTACTATGGATCTAAATATCTCATGTCAAGGCATTTATTTCAAGTTTAAATTTCACAAATTCAATGAATACAAAGTAAATATCTAATTAATGATTGCTTTAAGCTATCAAGATTATTTTTTAAGAAAAATTTACTGAAAATTGTTGTACAATAATAATTTCTTAAATGCATTTTAACGAATGAAATTTTTTCTATACATTCAACATTAAGTAATATTAAAAACCTATATTACAAAAAATTTGTAGTAGTACATGTGTAACTATATATAAAATTGAATTCACATTCGAATATTTCTTTTGACTTTTGGTAAAATTCAATATTAAAAATAATACTGTATATAATTTCATGTATAATGTAACACGAAATGGAAATCTAAATTTATCGAAATAATTAATGCAATTTTTACATAACAAAAAAATATATATTTCATAAGCATAGAAAATATTAAAAATTCCATAATCATATCATAAATATAACTATCTAAGTTGGATCTTCTTAATCTCAACTTTCTCGTACATTTACAGAAGACATTTGTTAAAAAAAATTTGTTTAATTTACAAAATATATTCAACTATTAAAAAGAGAATAATCCCATAGAAGCTACCATTGATCTTATATAATTTTATCTAAATTCATTGGCCCCAAATATGATAAAATAATTATATGAAACAAGAGAGAAATATTAAAGCATTCAATCGCAACAAAGGCTTTCTTATAATAATTGTGATTGAAATAAATATGTCTGTACATTTTCTTTTTGAAAAAGAACATCAAGATCGATTCATAAATTAAATTAAAAATACGATTCATCTTCGTTCTATGAAATTAAAAATTTCGCGTTTAAATTCTATAATATAAATTTTCTCAAAAAATCAAATCAGCCATAATTTGAATTTTCTATATCAAAGAGGGATCACTGCTGAACTAAATACAAAACGAATAGGCAAAATCGTTTAAATAATAATATATTGAACATTTAATATATAGTTGAACGATGATAAGATCATTATATAAGAAGCTAAAACCATTTTCATTATACAAATTGCATATATTTTACTAGCATTTAATAAAAACCTAATTTATATTTTATCAGAGTTAAAAAGTATTATAAAGAAATATACTTGTTTAAAAAAATCTGTAAAAAAAGGTTGGCAAGTAATACTGTTTATTTTTTTTTTAATTTAAATTAAATTCATATTTTGCATTAAAATTAAAAAATTAATGCAATTACAAGAATGAAAACATAAATTATAGCAGTTATTGTTAATAATTATAAAAATAAAGGATTTTTTTATAGATGTGCATAGATATTAATATGTATTATGGGCATATTACTTATTTTTTTTATTTTGAGTTTATTTAGATTTAAAATTTATAATAAAAATTTTCACTTTCAACAACTTTATACAAATTTGTTATTATGCTGTATTATCTGAATATTGAATTCATTACGACTCGATAATTGAAGTTCGTAAATTACATTTTTTATAATTACAAATTAAATTATATTATATTATTTAATAATATCATTACATGATTGAACAAATTATTTTTTAATGTATTTGACAAATTAGCTTTACTCGAAATATAAAACAATAAAGAAGTATTCGATCATTTATAAGACAAAGCAATAAAGCAATGGCAATGATATAATTTATGAAATTAATCTCTGAATATTGTAGAATGCAATTTAGCATCCATATCATTACATCCTAGGATTTAACTTATTGTTTTACTTTAATTTATATTATACACTTCTAAATAAAGTAGTATGAATAATAATATGGAAAGTTGCTTTTACTACTCTTCAAAAATATTTGAAGTAATTATATATCTTGTAATATTATACCGATACAGCCCCAATTCCAATATCATAAAAATTTATATATGTATTTACATACGTCATAAAAATATGGTATCAAAATTCTGTGCATATAACGAATAAATCTTTATTGCGTACAATTGGATAGGAATTGAATTTTATTATTTCACTTAAATTTCACAACTAGAATCTGAAAAGAAAATTGTCGCGACAATTTTTTATATTTATATATAACGATATTGCATTAAAGATTTGCGTACAGAAAATTTATCAATACTAGCGGCAGAAATGATTCTTTAGAATTATAATCGATAAAATAATCATTGACCTTAATGTATATACACTTGAACTATTCGAATTTTGTAAGACATATTGGACTATTTTTCTTAAGTTAAGTTTTATATAGGATTTACAATTTATTTATTTACCGGTCAATTACATATTTAAAACGAGATCGGCAAAGTGTGTTAAAATGATTTCTTTAATACCACTTATATAGTTATAAATGTGGTAAATAATATTATATTCTTGAAATTTAATAGAAAAATTATTATGTAAAGAATTCAACAAGGAAGTTCATCGAAGTTTGATAAAAATTTGGAAATAAAATATTTAACAGAATAAAATTAAATTAAATATTATAAATAAAGCAGACAAATTGTGTATAAAATAGAATAAGAAAGACTTCGATTAAATAATATTATTAGTATCATAAATAGTATAATTCCAGAGATGCTAGTAATGCATTCAAAATGATTAATACTTGTACGGCATTACGATAGAAAATCCATACAAATTTGCAAATAAGACAAAAATAAAAAAGCTATTTTCGGCATATTTACAGCATAATGTTTTAATAAAATCATTTGAAAATGATTTTAGCTCGATATTGGAGGTATAAACTGTAAGGAAAATTTGCGAAAATTATAATAAAGAATAAGTTATACAAAATCAATAAATATATTCAAATATAGGTACATTGACCTATATGGATTAGATCGTTTTTCATCGTTAGATTTTTGAACGCTAAGTGACTTGCTTCAAGAGTTCTAGACTAAGCTACATATAAATAAGTTTTGGTTTATTTAGAAACTCCTTCTATTCATTACAGAGAGCAGATACGTACATTTGTACAATTAGTTGCAGAATGACGGAAGGCTGAGGAATTCATCGTTCCGTTAAGACCCGAAAAGATCGAAGAGTCGTGTGATGCGTTAGGGTTACGGAGGTGCTGAGTGAGGCGGCTGGGGTCAGCAGTTACCCCCGAGGGCGGATGCTGTCAGCTGTTGTTGCTTGTCATTGCCAAAATACGACACGTTCACTACGTCTCCGCCCACATTTATGAGACATTGGCCCTGAAAAGTAACGATGCAAAAGCAACTCTACATATATAGCTCTTCTTTATCATTAGGAAAATAATTTATATTTAATACCACCGAATTAAGAGAAATAATATACTTGTAATAAATTAATCCTTTCAGGATTGATCAACAAATTTATACTTCATTCTTATACTCAAGTTTCTGTAATAAAACTAATTTACATAATAATAGACGACAGTCAAACAACTTTACCAATATATTTGATATTATATTGCTTCGAAATTATATACATTTGATCTAATATACAAATTTTATTATGAGGATTATTTATTTAGTTTTCTATGAAGTATTTTTATTATTTGTTATTATTTTTTATTATTAAATATCTTTAAATATATAAAATTTTAAAATAATTAATAAAATCATAATTTTTCTATTTTAATAATTAAAAGTTTTATTGAAATAATTTTATTCATATTATTTGGAAATATATATTATAAAGAATTAATAACCAAGAAAAACACATTTGTTACATCGATATTTAAGTAATTGGAAATAGTTTTTAGATAAAAAAAAGATACTATGAACTTAAATTTCTACATCTGATGATTTTTATATTATCATAATTATTCTATGCCATTCAATCAATATTGTCTTTTCATTTGAAAATTTTTACCTGATTTTTATGAGGACTGTGTAGCAAAACACACTGAGTCATGAAGAAAGCAACCATCGCATTACCTCCTAGTGCCGTGACGTGAGCTCGAATTATGGACAGAACTTCGGTCACGAAACTGTGAATGAAACCACTAAGACCTCCATTCTAAAAGATAGTAAAATAAAATAGGCGTTTCATATTTTTATTTTAGGAAACGGTAGTGTTTCATAAAATATATTCAATATAAAATAATAAGTAGCTTTACCTCTCGAATAGAATTTGATTCTCTAATGAAGAAGAAATTCAAATTTCCCAAGTACCTTTCAATTCTACCACCAGGAAGATAAGATAATGGAGTAATATCTACGCCGTATCTTTCTTTTAGTGGTACCTTAAAATAAAAGCCTAACATAACTTGAAGCCAATTAAAATTACTTTTTATGCAACTGTTAAACATAAGCTATTTTCGTATCGATTTGAAGTTAGTTTCATTGCGCGCGCGCACTCGCATTGAATACCAATATAATAATTAAATGAAACGTAATCGTGTATTTTCTATGGTATATAATGATTCACTTTTCTTGACAAGTCTTTAATACAATGTATTAAACTAAATTAATAGTACAACTTTAAGTATTTTTAGAATATTCTGTTTTCAATTATGGAAATAGCATATATAATTAACACAAATGTGTCAATATTAACATTTATTAATAATTTTCAATGACAGAGCTTGAATAACCAGGTTCTTTTTATATTTCCGAATAGTTTACATTAAATTTTATCTAATAAAAATTAAAGACTGATTTAAATAAATAGAACTTGAAAGTTATGAATTATTATGAAATGTCGACTATTTTAATGTTTAAAAGACACTTTACGTGCTTGTGCCTGTGGGTGGTGTGCTTGATTCTGAGAGGAGAACGCGACCGCGGCTTCTGTGACATAGCAAAAAGCATTGTTGACTGCGTATTCGGATTATTCGAGGTAATCGGCAGAGAATCGCCAATGCTTGAATTTTCGGCGTGATCCTCATCAAGGCTGAATATCATATCGTTGTCATCTATAATGAATTGCAAATAATTTAAAAAATGGCAGTTCTTTTAAATGTATATTTCTTTAACATATTTATTTAGAAAGTGCAATACAGACGGTATTATAACCCTCATTTTCCATTTTACAAATTTAATTAAGATAGTGCTCTAACTGTAAGTATGGATATATAGAAATTTCAATGTGCGCGGTTCAATCATTGATATTTTACTCACTTCATGAGATTATGTATTGTTAACGATTTTTGTGCTGCCAGTTAGTTCTTATTAATTTTTAATAATTTTCGTGGAAACTTATTGTTGATGGATAAATATATTAATGGTAAGAATTTCAGTAAAAAATTTGAAATTATCAATAGCAACTAATACTTTGTACATATATTTTCAATGTCTAAGTAGAAGTGAGAATGTGATAAAAGTGGCAATACAATCGAGTTGAAGATACAAAAGTAAACCAAGGCAATTCAAATGATTTAAAAAAGAAATGAAATAAGATTCGTAGTTTAAAATTTTTAAATATATTGTATATTTACGTGTGTATGCGGGCCCTCTTACACATTAAAACTGTTTTTATTTATGTGGATTAAAATTGTTAAATTATATTAATTTTTTAATTATGCCGATAAATTCGATACAAAATTAAACACAAAATATTACGTAATGTTGATAAAAAAATGTACCTGTACTTCTGAAATTATCGAGAACAATTATAATAATCTGAATTGATAAACCAAATCCTCATTCGACAGATGAGAGTCTCATTGGGAAAAAATTTTAAATTTCACATTATTTGACTTTCAAAATACGCTCCATACGGAATCTCATATTAAATAAAAAACGCTCAGACTTACCGATTCGTTTGACCTGGTCTTTGCTCACTGAATGCGAAAGTATTTTTCTGCGCACCTTGTTGAATTTGGTGGGCTCACCAAGGCCTAAGGCCATCCCAACTACTGATAATTGTATCTCATCCTGCTCAGGCATGGCGATTTTGAATTGCAGATCGCAAAGTGCGCAAGGCACCATGCGCCTCAATTTAAAGTACACCGTTTGTAGCACCCGAGCAAAGTATTTTGATGGCATCAAGCCTGACTGTCCCGTGGGAATCTTGGCGCGTGAGAGCTGCAAATTTATTTGTCCGCTACAAACTTATTTGTCCATATTTCATCTATAATGCAAGGCGGTGAGCGCTTAGAGCTTAACATTATTATAGCTCATAAATTGTTGCGAACATACTCGATTAATTTTTTTCTTTGTTTTTTTAAATTTATTTTATATTTACATAAATATCCATTTATTATTATAATTATAATTATAAATATATTTTTCATTATCATTATCATCATCATGATCACTATAATTACTACAACATAATTATTAATTATGTATTAAAAAATATGTTTAACAATTATTTGATTTCCTTGAATGTAAAGACATAATAAGAAATCTAAAAAATGAGATTCCAATTTTTAAGAAAATTATAAATTGAAAATATTTTTACAGGTAAGGACTGTAGCAAATTAATATTGCTCACAAAATATTATCTTCGTATTTGTAGTCGATAAGAATTCCATTAAGAGGGTAAAAATATCCACAAACATGTGAGATCTTTTTTCATATATATAATATACGGTATCATGAAATATCCTTGATTTTATCTGCATAAATACAAGGATAAACTTAAGAAAAATTGGTTCTGTATTTTAAAGACGAGACCATTATGATATCCGAATTGTTGATGCTTATGAATACTCGTCTGTATATTTCAGCCGTTAAAGTAGCAAACTATTTTTTTCAATTTAAAAATTTTAATATGAAATAAATATTGAAGATAATGATAAACTCTGAATAAATTTTTTGAAAGAGATTATGAAAGTAGTAGAGAATATTTTGCAAGCAGTTATCCGTCAGATAATTGATGAACTTCGATAGCAGTATTATAGAATTTTATGCAAGTAATGTAGCTAAATTTATTTTATAGTAATGCCAAATAATAAAAGCGGTCAATCGAATATTAAATATTTATTAAAAAATTAACGTAGAATTAGTATATGCCACTATAAAACGGGTAAGGAAAGAATAAATCGTATAACGAGTGTGCATATGGAAGATTTCTCTCTCTCTCTCTCTCTCTCTCTCTCTCTTCCTCTGCACATTTGTATTTCAGGGCATAATATAGAATTGTGTATGGACCATAACTGACAAATGTAAGAAAGGGAGAAAAAAAAAACTATATCGGTATAGTATAATCTAATTGGTGTAGGGCAAATGCATTTCCGAAAGATTGAAATTTTATTACGAATCTATTTAATGTAAAAATTTGTATATGTGAACTGTAGATTATTTCAATCATTACATTCCTCGTTAACAAATTATTATAAATATTTATTCGGAAACTGTTTTACTGATCTTTAACTGTTTCGTATTAACTTTTATATATACATATATTTACATTTATATTAATTTACTGAATATTATTAATATATATATATATATATATATATAAACCCTCATTTTTTCCAAGCGATAGCTTTTAAAACACTATTTATTTACAAAGTACTGATAAATATGATTAGTTATTGTCTATTCAATAAATAATGCAAAATACCTGTGTGAACATTTGAAGATTGCGCACAATTTCAAGATCTTCGAGTCCAGGTATCGTTTCCGTATTGACTACATGAAAATCGTTCGGTGGTCTTTCATCCATCAATAAATTTATACGATCCATATCTTCAACGTCATCAACTTCTAAAACACAGACATCTTTCATACCCAACCCCAAATCGAGTTCTGGTAGTTCGTCTTCTGATTCATCGGTGTCTGACATAGAACGACCGTTTTCCACTTCCTGAAAAGTTCAAAAAATGTGATATAATTCACAATCTATCATCGCTATTATTTTTATTAAATGATAAGTAGATAATTGTTACCACGGTTATATCCACGGTTTCAATCATTTTATACATATATATCTTTTTGCATATATTCTTTGGTATATAACTCAATAAAATTTCTACACACCAATACAATCTTATACCAATGATATTTAAATCTTATATCAATGATATTTAAATTGTGCTCAAATAATTATCGAAGAAAATTGATTGTAAAGTAAAAATTCTACTTCTTGTACTTTTTAAATATCATTGTATTTTTACTATCAATTCATTATAAATATCAATTAATTAATAAATCGTAAGGGGGAAAGTATCTTACAGGAAGTGGCTTAAGTTGATAAAACTCCATATTTTTTTTAACAGTGTCCACCAGGCTCTTCTGTATCTCGACAAGCTGTTCATCATTGTGCCACGTATTGCCGGTGGCGATCTGGGGTAATGAGGGAGGCGGCAGAGCCGTGAGGTAGACAGCCGTACCAGTAGCCATGCCAATTACAAGTCGTTCACCAATCGATACCTGGACCTTAAGGCCGAAGGCCGCGTTCATACCTCGCATGCGTAATTTATTAAGCAATAGGCTGTGCAATTCGTATTCAAGAAAGGGCAGACAATCGGAGATTTCCTTGGCATTGAGTTCACCGCGCAAGTCTTTCTTCGCTTTGCAGACGATCGCTTGGATGAAGCTCCCGTGGCCAGTCATTGGTAGGTTCTCCGGTAGATCTACCGTTGTGAACAGCACATCCGGAACTTTGGCGCGATGGCAGATCGTACACTTCGACACATGCACCTGCACGTTGATTCATTAATATTTGTAAGTGTAAATGATTAGAAATGTCCTTCGTGTTATATTTTATACAATCGATAATAATAAAAGTGTAGTATGTGGATCTTTGTTATGCTAGAGCGCGCCTATTAATCAAGTATTTCTAATTTGTCTTGCAAAGCAAACGTGCATTTTACTTAAGAGAATAATATTGATTAGTCAATTTGGATTTGAAAAAACTATAATAAATTATTAAGTACATAACTATAGTATTAAATTTTTAGCAACTACATTTTATTATATGTTATACATCGCTTTAATAAAATTATTCTTATTATTATAAGATATTAGTTTATACTTTTCTTAATTCATTTTATTGTTTTGAATTTTACTATAAAATTCTGCTGCAACTCTTAGCGAAAATTCAATACAAACGACCAATATCAACAATGTAAGTATTGACAAGTTACCAAGTATTTGATTTTTACTTTTTCCACAAACATATTATTATTGTTAAGTTTATTCTATAATTTATTTGATAAATTTTATTTATTTAACTATAATTTATTTATTATTTGTTTGAGAATAAAATAAAATTTTATTAATAAAAGCTAGTAGTAGGAGATTTTATTATACATAAATTAAAAAATTATTTTATAAATTCAACTTTGTTTTATAAACTACTACAAGATTATTGTTGTATACAAGAAAATTACTACAAAAACACGTAACTTAAGTTTTTAATTATTATATATCGAATCTTGAAATTTTTAAATAACCCCTTTCAAACTTAAAAGAATTTATTTAAATTAGTAAAACAATTAATAAGCAATAAAAGGAAGAAATAAATTATTTGACCGTTCCTAATTAGTTCTCAACCACCTTTCACATTAATAAAAATATGGCATTCCATGTCCGTGATCCCTAAATTATAAGTATCTAAACAAAAATTAGATATGAAACATTTCTTCTTTTAAATTAAAAATATTTGAGATAAAATAAGTCTGCACGTACTTTTTTTAAAGCATCATCCACAAAACTTTATAATTCAAATACATTAATGTTGAAAATATATGTTTGTGGAATAACCTGAAAATTCATGCTAGATTTATTGTAGGGCAAGTGGCAAATGCTACATCCGCTTAATGGGAAAGAATAGGGCTGCTCGTGCTCATTGCTCTCAGAGGAATATCTCTGCTTTGATCTTGGCATCTGATGATTTAATGCCGCGGTCGCCGTCGCTGGTGTAGCTGATGCTTGCGGCTGTTGTTGTTGTTGCTGTTGTTGTTGTTGTTGTTGTTGTTGTTGTTGTTGTTGCTGCTGTTGTTGGGATAACGCGTCATAATTATCTTTAAACGTATTCTTCGGATTCTGGGGCTTATCTGAAACGACGGTTGCGCCTTTATCAGACTCTGTTGAGGCCGTCATTAAACCTTGGACATGGGTTATAAGAACCTTATCCTGGTCCTGACCCGTGCTATGCAGATTTATCACGGCGGCTGTACCCGATCCGCTCAGCACGCACACGTCATCGCTATTTATGCATGCAACAGAAGGTTTTTCTTATAAATATTAAATGCTATAATATTATCATTATGTAATTTATTTTAAAAAATAAATAAATAAATAAAAAATGAAAAAAATATAATTGTAAAAATAAAATTCAAATGAGATTGTATTTTATATTATACTTTAATAATTTTAACGGCTTTATAGAATCTATATATATTTTATTTTTGGTATATTTTTACAGATAGCTTTTTATACGAATGATAATTATTTTTAACAAAAATCGTATTTGTTCAAAAGAAAAGAATAAAAATGTATATGTTTAATACGTATTCGTGAGATTTTAAACACATTAATTAAAAGAACTTGCTTTTACGTGTAATATAATTGCCGTGATACACGTTTAAATTTAAACTTCTAGAATTAAAATTAAAGCGTTGAAAGTACGAAAAGATGAAGGATGAACCAATAATAGAGAAGATATCAGACTTTTGTCATTTACCAAATACTTGTCTCTTCTTTATACCCTATAACAACGTTACAAGCGAGAGATCGAGCATGAGAGCGGATTTCCATTCTAATTTCTGTCCACCAAGAATCCCGACCCTCAGGCTCCTCCAAGTTGCTAATTCTTTCTAAAAGTTTTACCGATCTTGCACTAACAAGGCCACCTTGAAAATAATTAATTTTATATTGCAATAAGAATATTTTGATTAATAAAATGCTGAGGAATATGTAATTTGTGGATTATAGCGTCAAAGTTATTTATGATTAGCGTCACAAATTCACTATTTAAATTAAGAATTAATAAAATTAATAAAATATACGAAATATATTAAATAAAAAAGGAGATCTATTCAAAAGGTAATCATTCATAAAATGAAGATATAAATATTCGTATTCGCTCATTAAAATGTGTATCCCAATTGAAAGGGCTTTTTTGACAAAGGTAGCCTTATGCTTTACAATAAAAAAATTCAAAGTTTAAAAGACTTACCTATGTGCAAAACAAAGCCAGGCGGATATTGTTGCATCGTTATAAACGGATACTCGAGCATCTCCAGAGCCTCCTGATTCATCGTTCTAACGATGGCCGACGACGGTTTCAAGTAGCCGCCCATTGAGCGTTCACTACCAGTCAATGAATTCCCTGTGTTTCCAGAAAAAACATTATGTGCGCATTAGTTATTGACGTCAGTTCTGATATATTATTTTCTTCCAAGTATTTTCGATCAACACTTGTAAGAGGGAGGACGCAAGTCTTTCAAAACAGTGCATTCTTTACACACAAAGGATTTTTGCCCGTGTGCTGATTCGCAAATACCAATGCCAAATATAAATTTTTCTTCATTTAAGGCGTATATTTCGTTGTTTTAAACGGTAACTAATTTTTTTTAATTCAAAACATCGTATAAATAAGTGACTTTTTTATACTATACGTAGCGAAAAGAGTTCCGGTGCGTGAAATATAAATCAAATTAAAAGCTAATTAGTAAATTATTGTTATCGAGTAAATCGAGAGAGTCTATTTTAAAATTGCGTGACTAAACTTTTTTCTATGCACTTTGAATAAATAAACAAACTATCTAAATATTTTTTAAGGATCTTGATAATATTGTAGCAGACTGGTTTTAACGACAAAAAGTATCACATGCAATTTTTACAGATGAAAGTTATTTTCATTAAGAATTTATATTTAAAAAAAAAGAAAAGAAATGAAATGAAAAACAGGAAATGAAAATGAAATTAAGGTCTACAATATATACATTCAATTTAAGAATTAGGTATAATTTCCATTAAAAATACTATTTGTTTTCTAAGCAGATGGAGGCTTCTTGTGCATTGTCACGTATTATGTATGCGAGCCACAACCTAATCATAATAATCATATATATAATCCAAATATATGCATTATCAAACATTTATATATATATATATATATATATATATAATTAACGCAATAAAAGTGTAACAAGACTATCATTGAATATATTAAATGCGGACGCGAGTAAATTTCAATAAGAGACGCATCCAATGCATAAGAACCAAACAGAATTTCATCATGGATGAAAAACTACAAGATGTAAGCCTTTAATTAATAATGCATTAGCAGGTTATGAGAAATGCATTATTAATGATAGATTCTAGTAGCATATAAGGATCGTAGAAATATTTTAATAACTCGGAGGGTATACGACCAAACTTTAGCGTGGAGAATTTTAACAAATTTGCGATTGTTTATAATTTATCGAAAAGATAAAATATTATGATAATTGTGAATTTTAAAATAACCTTCAGATTTGATTATTATAAACGATTCAGATTATCATAAACCTTCAGATTTCAATTATTATAAAAGATTGAAAATTTTTTACATAAATAAATTTGAAATTTGATGTCATCTATTGCAAAGAATCATGAGTGCATTGTCATTAAATTCAATTTTCAAGTGTCAATGCTAATAAACTGTTGTAACCAAATACGTATTTGTATAAATATGCATAAATTTTTATAACATGTTTTCTAAATAGTTATTTTTAATTGTAAGTAAAGATTCACTACACATTATTACTTTGTAAATTATCTTATAATTAATATAACTATGTTAATCTCTGAAAGCAAACTTAAATAATTCAATATTTAGTTTTTGGGTTTGTTAAAATTATTTATTTTATAAATTTAATACATAAATATTGATTTTTATTGAAAATACATAAAAAATTAATGTTATGTCATTCAATAAAATATTCATGCGTACATAAAGAACACAGATGTTGTATATTAAGTTATAAGTGTGAAAATGTGGTGTAGATAAGGTATTATGAAAGCTTACTAGAAACTTGTTTACTTTTACAACAAATAGAAAAATATTTTTACATATTACTCATGTAGCCGGTAAAGGATACGAGTAGAGTAAAAGTCAAAGCTTTATTATAAATGTTCAATCATATTCAATTATTTTATTTATATTCCAATTGAAATTCTAAAAATGATTGTATTTTTATAATAATAATATGTTTCTGTATTGTTACTATTATAATAGTAAAGTTAAAATAAATTAAAACGTTTTATTGCAATAATTTGAACAATGTGTAATCACTTTAATCTTTTAAATATAAGCTTTAAAACTTCTAACTTTTACACTTCTGTTATTTGAATAAATATATTTTAAAACACCTACTTTGGTTATTCTTTTTTCAAAAAATGACCATGAATTTTTGCAAGCAAATATAATAAATACTTATTATAATGTCATTAAATTATTTAAGTATTTAAGTAAAATTTATAATCGATGATGAATAATATAATATTTAAAACTATTTTTATTTACACAATTTCTTTTATTTGCCCTATTTAAGAAGTTAAAATGTTCTTTAATAATTAACTAAGTTATAAAAATATGTATTAATTCACAAAATATGTATAAAAAATGAAAAAAAAATTTTAATTAAATACGTAGCTTTTCTTTACTGTAGTTTCAAAATACGTATATGCAAATTAATGGACATAACTCATAAATGCAATTAAATATTTTTTATACTGAATCAATGATATAATGATAATGAAATCGGTAATAATATTGTATAAATTTTTTATTCTTTTTTCATACTTGCGAATTCATATATATATATATATATATATATATATAAATTTGAATAACCAAAACACCTATTAGTTGCAAGTAGTATTTCAAATACTACCTACAATACTTAAGCAATTGATATAAAGAATAAAATAATATCATTTTTTATTTTATTTTATGAAACCTGGAATTCTGTCGCTGAGCGTCAATTTTGAAACGTAGCCGCGATCTGAACGAAGTTTGAAAGATCTGCCCTTCTTCATGATAATATTATCTATAAGATTTAATTCTTTGTAATAAAAAAATTTTATTATCATAATTTTATCATATTAAAGGAAATCTTTGAACATTTATTTATCTTCTCTAATGTTCGTAAATTTTATTATTTAAAATTGAAATTTCATATGAAATATGTATATTTAAAAAAATTAACAAAATCTTCAAAATATTTGCTAGAATTCTTATTCTTGTCATGATATATAATTAAGTGTAATTTGTTAATAGACATTCAAATAAAATTAGATCAATAAAATGATCAGAATGAATGGTTAGAAACTTTGAAAACGTAAAAAGCTGACAATAAAAACATTGAATATAATTGACTATCGTTTAGTTGGTACTCACGTTCGCGAAAGAATTTACAAAATCCTGCTGGTATGCAATAACAACGCGAATGCAACAGAAAGCAAAAATAGTCAAATGTTGTATATATTATCATTAATTGTAAAATAATCTACTGCTTTTATAATGCACGAATAATTTTAGATTACTTCAAATATCTTCTATTTTATCAATTTTACCTATATATAAAGAATTAATAATAGAGGAATGAATGCATTAAATAAATGTATGTTAATGTATTCATATAATGATTAACCTAAAAAAGTTTACTCGTGAAGACTAGATAACATTACGTACGAAATTATTGGCGCATAAAAGACAGTCGATGAGATTCCATAAGAAAAATTTTAATTCGCGTAGTTTAGGTATGCAAGATACATACTGACCTTTCGGTGTTATGCTTAAATCCGAGTCGCTGGATCTGCGGTGCATTGGTATACCAGGATTTTTTGATGCCGGTGAGTGGGCTGTTTTCGACTGTTGCTGATTACCACATGGACTGATCGACTGCTGTTGTGTTTCCTGATTTGAGTTCTGCTGATGCTGTTGCCTACGTATGGACGGTGAATGGGATACACACAGATTGTCAGTTGCATTGGCCGTGTTAGTTGGTTTAGTATCAAAGACATTAGTAAAAGTAGTAACAGTAGTAGGAACAGTATTGGATAGTGATCTAGTGGAAACAATAGCGATGTTTTCATAAGTTGCGCTCTCGAGGGTTGTCAAGGCCCGCATCTCTAGATTGTTCTCATCGACTGCCTCGTTATAAGAAGGTTTTGCTTGAAACAAAATCTTAGCAGCCTCCGCGATTTTTTCGGGAAAATATTCCATTTCGGAGTTTGAAGGTGGATGAATATCCGCTAAGCATTCAGACGAGAAGTGATGATTTTTTAACGAGTGTTTAACTAAATTATGAATAGAAGCTGATGATGTATAACGAGAATGAAGGCCACGACGACGATGGCTTATGCTAGATATATCAGGGGATCTTGATCGAGGGAGCATTTTTCGTTGAATAGAATCGGAAGACGGAAATTTTCCGATATTAATTGCATGTTTGCGATGCCGTGTTGACTCTGCGTGTGAATGATGATGCATAAACATCTTTGCATCGATAATTTTAATCAAATCTAGCATACAAGATTGTCTATATTTTTTAGTTAATATCTCAGCTACCCGAGTATCTTCTGCAAAAGATGCCTCATTAGCAGGATAAGGACTTTTAGATATTATGTCCTTGAGATTTATACTGGGAACTTGCAAATGATTCGCATCAGTAGTATCAGCAGAATTAGTAACTAATGTAGGAAGATTAATAATAGTGGGTGAAAGTGGAGGTGGAATCGATAATAGTTCTTTATTACTACGGTCCAACAGATTATTTTCCTTGTTCTCTTTCAAGCCTTTATAAATTACAGTTTTTACACGCTCAAGTCGCCGAGACGGCTTTTGTGGTAAATCTGTCGAATTTGACTGATGTTGATCGTCATTAAAATTAATAAGTAACTTCTTTTCTTGACTTTTGCACGATCGTAGATTTATATTACTATAATAATCATCATCGGATGATTCTGTCAGAATATCTTCATTCGGTTGCGTAGCTGATAATTGTTTGTGGAATCGATGTCTTAAAAGCTTATTGTTATTCTTTTGCGAGTGCTCTGGTATAATAAAATCTGTAAGTCGATCATCTTCCATTGATAAAGGTTTTTCCTGTTCTTCTGAATAATTATTTGGTAAATCAAATTGAACAGAAGACATGTGTAATGATTCGGAATTTTTGAGTTCTTCTTCATCTGTTTGTTGTAGCATTTTCAAGTCGCTTGAGAGTTTTTTTATTTTCTTTGATTTATTGTCATTTGAAATTGATTTCAAAGGTAGATCGGAATCAATATCTGAAGAAAACTCAGATGATAGAACATCGTCTACGGGTAAAACATTATTTGCCTTACTAGTGGCCATGGATGAAGTTGTTGAAGTTTCTTCTACACTGCGGACAGGAAAATTTGATTCTTCATCTTCTTTCATGATTAGTTCTGAAAAACATATCGAAGATTCCCATACGAAAATGACATATTATTAAAAACTTCGAATCAAGTAAGTATCAAAAAATTATTAATGCAGGCCTAGTGATACGACTAACTAGTAAAATGACAGTATTTAAAATAATAAAATGATAGTCAATTTGATTCCATTTTTAAAGATTATAAAAATTAAAATAATTAATAAATATTAATTTGCTTTCTCATTAACTCCTATATTAATTAATCGTGTCTTACGGTGTATTGTTTGATCAATTATAATATGCTACTTTTGAACATATAGAAAAATATGACATTTTCTTCTGAAAACTAATATTTTTCATAGTTTTCTACATTTTATCTAAATTATATAAACATTATTGTCTAGAAGACTTCAAAGTACGATTCGGACAAAGTAAATGAAGTGTTAACATACCAAATCTTTCATAACAATAATATTACTTTCAAATAAAAAAATTTTCAAAATCTTGTAAAAATCTTGAAATCAATTGAAAAATTATTTTACCCATTATATGTTCCTATAGGTAAAATAATTATAATTCAATAACCAAAATTATGCAAATGCTAATAATGGACACTCATAACAATTTGTAAGCTTTCAAAATATGTTCCATTAATAATGCAACAATCGTGTATTAAGTAAATTCTTTTTAAATATACTTATTTGGCAATTATTTAATTTTCTTGACTTCCCAAAATCAGAATTATAATTAAAAAAATACGATACAGCACATTTATGAAATAGAAAAATAAATATATACTTTAGAATCGAATAAAGAATTGAATAAATCGAATAAGAAATCGAAAAATTCGAATTTATCAAAAGCTTTGTCATTTTCGTACGGGAACTGAAGTTCGGCTTCGGTGATGAGCAGAGCTGGATTTGGGACTCGCCGAACATTGGGTAGTTTTCAATATCGGATGAGCTGGGATCTAGCAAGGGTAGCGTGTCGTCGAGTATATTGTAATTAGTACTTGATTCCGAAAGCTCCTCGTCGTCCTCCTCGTCGTCGATACCGTCACCTTCTGAGCTTGATGTATCAGACTCTGAAGATGTAATAAATGGTATTGCGTCATTGTCCTCCGACAACTTGAGCTTCGAATAGGCTACGAGCAAAATGTTCTTGTCCTCTTTTTCCACGGACTCGTGTCCCAGCTTATCCGACTCCGCAAATGCACTCGAATCTTCCATGTTCTTGTCGCTTTTCGAGGCAGATGCGGAGTCTTGCTGATTAGTAGACTCTTCGTCTATGAAATTGACTGGAGACGGTACAGGTGTCTCGCGATCCTCCTTTAGTTGGATTAATTGAAGCGATTATTAAGAATATAACGAATTTAATCTCACTCATTAAATGAAATACTTAAATTATGGAGTATTTAACAATGCTTTGAAAATTACACATAATTATGCAATAATTTTCGTAATATTTCTTCATTTTCTCTATATTTAATGTGTGATTTAGTGCTCTCTCATTTTATCAATACTCGTCCATCATAAAATTGATAAGCATAATGCCAGTTCATTATTTATGAACGAAAATAATGGTATAAATAACATTATTAAATTTAATTTATATGTAAATGAAAATTTTAACAAATATCTCAAATGCAGTGATAATATAGTTTTAAGCTATAACGGATTGCGTAACCTACACCAATACTCAACCTGTTGTGTCTGTTGATATTTTAATATTTGTATATACACAAATATACATTAAATTAGTTTTAAACTTCGATAAAACGGTTTTACCTATGGATAGATAAATCATACAAGTAAAGTAACGATGTCGTTCAAATCATTATATTGGTTACATTGACTTACAGAAAGTAAAAACTCTTAATAAGCCCAATAAATATTAATATAATAAATCAAAATCGATCGTTCACGAAATGCTGATTTTCCCGGGGATATCCCCGATGAATGGTCTCATAATAACGAATGCTATTATTATACCTTAACACTATCGAGCAGTGGGCCACCAACATGCACGGACCTGATGAGCATGGCGGCGATGCCCTCACCAGTGGCCTTCCGGTGTCTGAATTTCTTCTTCTTAATGGACTTATGGAAGTCTACGATAGAGGAGGACTTGGCGGAGTCAGAACCGCACACGGACCACGTGCTCGAGTACGTGCTATCGAGGTCGCTCTCCTCGTCAAGTGAGTCTGCCATCTTGGGCCTTAAAAGGCCGCGTCTTGTCAGGACACTCTGGGGCAGATAACGAAGAGTCTTGAGGCTGCGTGAAAATCTGCTAGCCGTAGGCTCTCCACGCATATCCTCGAGGGCGAGCATTGCCCTTATCGAGGCTTCGTCGATAACGTCAGTCGCGAGGGAGAGACTAGAGCCAGAATCGATCTGTGGGCCACGCTTGGAGCCGACGCTGGTCCACGATTGGGCTGATGACTGATGCTCTGGGGTTTGCTTCAATTCCGTGACTTTTAACGGAGTGATCGATTGCAGAGGCACGTTGTCGCCGTATAGGGGAAACTTACTGCTTAGCATAGTTGGCGAAGATATGGGACTATTATTTGTAACACTGCCGTTATCGTTGCTGTTACTATTGCCGATTGTATGGTGATGATGATAATGATGATGATAGTTTTGACAAGGGAGCAAACGAGGACTATCTTCAGATTCTGAGCAGTCTGGTGACTGTAGTTTATTAGATTTAAATATTTCTGAGCCAAATCTTTTTTTGGTTTTATTTTTAGATTTGTTTTTATTGTCAGTGGCATGCAAATGAGTTTAGGAGAGAAAAATGAAAAAAATATATTGTATTATATATGTAGTTTAGTATTTGTATCAATAGATATTTATATGTGTCTAAGATTATAAAGACTCTTTAAAAACTTACTATGTACATACCAAAAAACTTATTTGAGTATGTTATGTGCTATCATTATCTTAATTATTAAAGCACCACAAATATTTTTTACAATTAATACAATCAAATGCACATAAAAAGTTTCATTTAAAACTTTCATGAGTTATTTTTTATTAAGCCTTGTATAATTTTGATCTTGCTTTTGGATGGTGTAGATACAAAAGATGATTTTTATATATAAATAAAATATATATAATTTATAATCCATTTTATTTTAATTAGCAATGAAAGATAAATTGTTTGATATGTATATTTATCACATAATTTAAAATGACTTCTTGATATATGTATATTATAATAATTAATGAAAATTTATAAAAATTATGAAACTCACTCGTCTGCAGTTGGAGTCTCAGCCAAAAAATTGTGAAAATCGTGAAGTTTCACAAGAGTGACCACTGTGCCAATACCTCTGGCAACAATTCCGGATTCTCCTTCCAAATCAAAATTTTGTAAATATCTGTTGACAAGTTATATACATTTGATAATCACCTATCATTTATCATTTTTTAAATCAGTTTCAATTAACTTACCCTATAACCGCATTTCCTCCAAGATCTAAAGCTTTTAAACCTATTTTCCTTTGCACTTCATTACTTAATTTTAAAAAGAGCGTTTGACGTGCTTCATTGGATGCTCTTGGAGTTCTGATTTTATCAATCCACTTATATTCTGGATCATCGCTAACTACTAATTCTTCCACAAATCCATGTATTACTTGAGCATGGTAGCCATGTGGCACAATGGGAGCTTTGAATAATAAGATACATTGTTTAATTATTGTTTTACAAACGGAGAAATAGAGAAACATTATAGTTTTATATTAATTCATGGATCAGTTTTTTTGATGGTATAATCAACTTTATAAAATACTTTAACAATAAAAAGAATAAACGAAAACTAATATTATGAAATCAAATATAAATCTAATTAATGATAAAAATTAATGAGACATATATCTTTAGTAAATTGATGAACAATAAAATTACCACAGTAGAGAAAAATACTTACAATAAAAAAATGTAACACCACACGATGATTGCCTAAATTTATTAAAATCCAAAAACAATTCAACTTTCACAATAATATTAACTTCTCCTCTTATTCCATGCATTGTATCATATACTGGAAGCCAGCCTGTCATTATTGATCCTAAAATAAAATTTAACATTAATAATACAATTAAATTATATATAGTTATTACATTTTACCTCCTTGAGAGCCAGTACTAGAATTTATCGATGCTTCCAATGTCCAAATATTCTTAACTGGTGGTGGTACACCAGGCAATAATAATGGATTTAAATTTACATAAACTTTACCTATCGCGTCATTAGCTGAATAAGTGTCATAATCCATTAATCTAATTTGTAGCGGTTCATCTTGCAATTCTGCATCCTCAACTTCAAATTTGTACCATTCAGAGTTCCATTGAGGATTCAATGATTTTCTACACACTTCAGTCTTATATGTTGTTGTACCAAATTTAATTTCCACATATGCATCTGTTGTATCTCCAGATCGATCCATTACTGGTAAATTTCGACCAGCTAGGATCTTTACTTTAATTTTTCCAGGCATGATGAACCATTTATTGATTTTTATTTATTTTTAAAAAGACATGATGAGCTCTTTCACTAAACAAACTGAAAAGTGTTATAAATTTTATTATTTTCAATATTTATATAACAGTATTTTATGAATTCATAGTATTCATTTATCTGAGTTTCTATGTACAAATAATTTTACAACAGAGATTTTAAGCCCACAAATATTTTATAATACCATTAATTTTATGAATTATAATAATTTTATTGATTGAAATATAAGAAATTTAATTAAATTACGTTTTCTTATTATAGTTTTCTATTTAAAAAACCCAGGTTATGATTATTATACAATATGACATTATGTGCATAAACATTGTAAACAACTATTTTAATGAAGTTTTCACAAAATTAATAAAATACTTATTAAATGTAAAATAATACTTATGACATTTTGTAGAATTTAAAAATAAAACGTAAGGAAATCACAGCCAAGGACAAAATAATGCATCAAAGATAAAAATATACTTTTTCTTGTTACTGTAGCACTTGATGATCAGTGCATGAATGTATTAATATTAACGTATATATTACATTATAGTTTATTTTAGCGCATGGGCAAACTACTTACGTTTTTTAAATTCGGACTCCAGCTTTGGATACACAAATCTTAGAATTTAATATAATTAAACAGAGAAAAAATATATGCATGAAATTCAAAAATTTGTTTTTTCCATATATTAATATAAACTTTGTTGAAAATCAGTCTTGTAAATCACATACTGTAGTCATCGAAAATATTTTATTTCATATTTTTATAGTTATTATTAACAGATAAATAATTCCATTAAATTTCTTTTCTAAGCTATTAGTCAAATATTTGAATTCGTATCCAATACAATATTAGCTTTTGAAATTTAATCAGTATTACCAATATTTATTTATTTATTTTTCTAAGATATTTTACCTGTATATGAGAACACACTTTAATGTTTATAAAGTTTATAAGCTTCAACGTAGTCATTAGTCAATCTATAACTAAATTTACTTAAAATAAAGTATGGTATGTCATAAAATATATAATAACAAACGTTTGGTTTTGTTATAAATATAGCTTGTTTGCAATTAAAGGCTTCTTGAAAATAAAATATGCAAAATAACCCCGAAGGTAAAATATTTAATTCACCAATATTCAATTTAATGGCTTAATGAAATTTAAAATATTTACTTTTTTTATTACGCAATAGTACCTTCTACACAAAAGAAATTATTAGCATCTCATGATCCAGGATGGAATGATCCTCCAAATTGGGCACTTTCATCATTAAATAAGTCTGATAGTGGAACACCAACAAAAAGATTATTAAATAAAAGGGTAGCATTTCCATTAAATTCAAAAGAAGAGCCATTAAGTTCTCTTTTAACTCAGAATTTTCCACTTGTAGGAAAAATACCTCCACTAGGTCAAACTGAACAATTAACAGCACAGCATAAATCTACAATCGCATCATCGGCAAAAGTTGATGATGCACGTTTAGAAGTTCAAATAAGTAAAGATACAATTTTAAAAGATACTATTGATAATTTACAGTGTTTAATGAAACAACTAGATTCGAATAAAACGGAAGAAATACAAAAGAGACTTGACAGAATGCAAATAATGTGGAACGAAGATAAATTAAGTAAATCTGTACAGATAAAACTTTTTGAAATTTCAGAAGGTATATTTCAGTTTCGTCTAAACATATATTTATTATTATCATTAGTTTTGATTGGAATGATATATTTACAGCATTGAAAGAATTAGACTTAGAAAAAGTAGATCAATTACATATTTCACTTATGACGAACAATGCTTCAGTCTGTGGTTCATGGATTCCTGGAATTAGACAACTAATTACAGAAATAAAGAATAAAAAGATCTGATATGATTTTTTATACAAATCATTTTTAAATTTAAGTAATATTGATGAACAATGTAACATGTAATTAATACGATAAAATATATTTTATAAAATATTGAAAGTGATATAATTTATATTTATGATAATTTGATTAATTTGATTTTATATTATATAATAATTTCTAATTTCCATGTTCCCTCTACCAATTATAAAATATGACAAAATTAAGATTATTGTAAAATGAAAATCTTTAAATGGAAACAAAAAAAGGTTTTAAATGACAATGTTACTATATAAATATATATTGCAATTACTACATTAAGCTTCCAAAATTAGTGTAAATTATTTCGTTATTTTTGTTAGAAAGTAATAATAACGAATATCAATAAATAATAATTTCTTGAAATAAATAGTATATGTGTCTTTTATCAAATTTATTTATACAAATAATTGTTTATCATGTCTTTGATTCTATACCAATAACAGTTAATTAATTAAGTAATTAATTAATTATCAGTTAGTTAATTCGTATCAGTTATTTATTTCATCAATAATCACAAAAGCTGCAATTTTATTATTAATTTTATTGTTCGCTGCAAGAAACTCAATACTTAACTTATGTAATATTGTAATGATTATTTGATGGCTATTAAGATATCTTTTAGTTTAAAAAAGATAATGTAAAATATATACACACTATACAAATTATAATTTTATTAGCATTACACATGTCTGGTTAGTACATTGACATATTAATAATGAATATAATGAAATCTATGAATAAATAATTACTTACTTTGGTTTTTTATTATAAAATTTGTTGTAACATTTTTGTTTCATTGTGAAATATTTATTTACGTAGAATGAGTAAAAAAAGAGCAGAATTTCAGTAGAATGTTTAGTCAATGAATTACAATAAACTTTTCAAAAAGAAAATTTTTCTCTTACCGAATATATGTTATAAAACATGACATTAAGCACAACATGGCACTATTTTTATTTTACTACCTAATGTTTAATATAGAAATATAAATTAACAGAATTTTGTAAACACAAAAAGCATAATGAATTTTAAAAGAGAATAATTTTTGATTTATAGAAAATAATTTATCAGTATAGATAAAATTAATGTTATTGAAATTTAATATATATATATACATTTATTTTCATATTGAAGTTTAATATTTAATAATTTACAAATATGCTATATCCCAATTTGAATTTCTTTATTGTACTTTTTTTATAAATTTTTCGGTATCTACAATATCAACAAAGTTCTTTACACCAGCTGGTTTAACAGACAATCCTATACTAGATCCATTTTCATGCCATAAAGCTTTCAATTGTACACAGCAGCCTTTATCTAAAAATAAAATAATTTAAGTTTTTGGATTAGCTTTGAATATTCAAACTTCAAAATTAATGCACTTATGAGTTTTCAATATTGTTATTTTACCTTTTTATAAATAATTCAAATTTTCATGATAAATACTTATATGATAGAATATTAAGAATGTAAGTTTGAATAGTAAGTGAAATAAAATATCTCAAGATGAGATCTATTTGTTTTAATCATTAGTGAAGTAGTGATAAATTTGTTTAAAAGCGAGTGTAAAACAGTTTAATTTAAAAAATATTTTAATCTTTATCATTATTATTATTAATATTATTCTACTTCAATATCAGTTTTTAAATAAATGGATCACAACAAAATTTTAATTGAACAAATACACTAATAAAATCGTTGTGAAAAATTTGAATAAACTTTGTTCACTTTTGTTATTAATTCAATAATTTATAAATTTCAAATAAATATTTAAAACATTACTCAGCCAATTGGACAAAATTTAAAATTATTAGTAACTATAAAAATATAATTTATGCTCCTTATTTGCTAAAATACTTTTTGTAACATAATTATCCAACTTATACCGATTTGTCCGCGTTCGTGAGCTGCAGCAAGTTGATTGACAACTCGACGTTCGACCTCGTACTTAATAGATCGAGCCCCGTAGTGCGAGTCATACCCATCTGCAAGAATAGCGAGTACCTCGCGATCCCATTTGAGCTCGATCTTATGACGATCGTGAGCCCGTGTCGCCCAGGCTTCAAGCTCCCGTGAAACCAATCTTAATAACTCAGCTCTTGAAAATGGTAGAAAATAGACGATCTCGTTTATGCGGCCCAGAAATTCGTCGCGACGAAAATGTGATTTCAAAATTGGACGTACCTGCAAATTTAGCGAATTCACCAATTGCTTAATTATTATTGTACATTTTGAGCGCTAATATATGCTTCAGTATTTTTTTAATAACCGCGAAGGTGTTTATAGATTTTAATTATCCAACTTATTTTCACCAATTCTGTTAATATATATATACAAACATTCACACATGCATATGTATATATACACAAACATATATGAGCTCGTGGGCATGTAACTTCAGACTTTAATATTAAGAGAATCGACCAGCATTTCATTCATTTTTAACACTAAATAAATGAATTTCCATTTGCAATTTAAAAATTACTATTAGTTATGACCAGTAGATAATATTATCAACATTCAGTTACATTCTTTATTTAAAACGTATTTTTGCAATCATTTAACTATGTGAATTAAAAGAAATACTAACAACTTGATCCTTAAAATTTCGTGAAATTTCTATGTTTTCCGGTTCTTGATCCTCGTTAGATTTTTCCTTTAGTCTTTTTATTAATAACTGCTCAGATTCTTCGCGTAGATCTGCACCATGTTTGGCAATTTCTTCACTAGCAAGATTTGATGTCATGATAAAAATTGCATTTTTACATTCTATTGTTTTACCTTTGCCATCAGTCAATCTTCCCTAAATTAGAAATGCTTATTTATAATTATGAATAACTAAAATTCTTATTTAATTATAGTAATAACAATTAACCTCGTCAAATAATTGCAGTAAAACTGTAAGAACATCAGGATGTGCTTTATCTACTTCGTCAAAGAGTACAACAGCGGATGGTGATTTCTTCAATAATTTTGTTAATTGACCACCATCATCATGGCCAATGTATCTGAAATATTATAAGCAATTTTAGCGTCAATTATGCATTTTATAAATTTTTACTTAATAAATTTTTAATTGAAAAATTAGATAATTTATTTTGCATTACCCAGGAGGGGCACCGATAAGTTTTGCTACTTCGTGTTTTTCCTGATATTCGGACATGTCAAGTCTAATGAAAGAATCTGCTTTATTTCGATGTATATACGATGCTAACTGCTTTGCCAATTCAGTTTTACCAATCCCAGAAGATCCCAGAAATAAAAATACCAAAGGATGTTCCCCATCAATCCAACCATTCTCTTTTCTTCGAATAGCTAAATAAATTTATATACCAATTTTTTTTTATATAATATTCTATGAATTTTAAAAATATGTTAAACTTAATTTTAAATATTACTTGAAGCTACAATGGAAACTGCCCCTTCCTGACCAACAATATATTGCTTCAATCTTTGTTCTAAAGGAAATCTTCTTCTTTCTTCCGCTTCCTACAACGGCGAATTAATTATTACAATCATATTCTTTAAGAATCTTAATAAATACTAACTTTTTCCTTTGTGATTTCATCATATTTTATAGCATGCATTATAAGCATATCTTCAATATCTTTATCCATGTATGCATAATCTACAGCTCTGTGACCAGCTTCATTTTCAATTGTTGGATTTGCACCAGCATCTAATAAAGCTTTTACACTTGCCTTATTACGTGATAAAACAGCATAATGAAGGGCTGTGAAACCTTTAAAAGTTGCTCGAGCTATTAATCGATCTGAGAATTCCTCCTCTCTCTTAATTAACACTATGAAAAATTGAATGCATTTTAATATTTAAATTCACACTAATAATAACTAAAAAATATACTTTGTCTTTAATAATGAATAAGAAATTTACCATCTGTTGGGTGTATTTTCATTTCAGCCGCAGTTTTATAAATGTTAACAAAATTATCACCTGCATTAATATCAGCACCATTTTCAATTAAAAATTTTACGGCTTCAAATTTTCCATTAATTGCAGCTGTTTGTAATGCTGTCCATCCAAGTGGATGCCTAACATTTACATTCACACCACTATCAATGGCCTATAAAGATATATTTCATTATTAAGAAGTATTACAAAAGAAACTTTATTAAGAAATAATATTATCAATACCGTCTTCAAATCCATAGTATTACCATAATGCGCAGCTAAAAGAAATCTTCTATCTATAAAGAAATTATATAAAAAATAATTTATTTGTTCAAATTTGAGAATTTTATTAGTTAAATACTGTTATTTCAAAATATTTAATTAGTATTTAGCCATTAAACAAAGATAAAAAATTAATTAATAAATTTTAAAGCATTGGAATATCATTAGCATTTTTAACTATTTACAAGTAAATAAACAAATTTACCTAATTTATTATTTGTACTTTGACATAATGTAACTGTTAAAGCACTAAAAACTAAGCCCAACTTATTGAAAATGTTATTGTTATAAAAATTTTTGTTGGTTCTACATTTTTCACTACAAATTACTGAAGATTCATCGACTAATTCATATATAAAAGATTTCTCATATTTTTGCCTTTGAGTGATTATTGAATAACCTTTTTTTTGCTGTACAGAATAAATACTTTTGGGGTTGTTCTTGAACAATAAATAATTAATAAGCAATTGAAGACACTTATTATTCTTCATCAAATAGTTGTAACGTAGATTGAAGAAGAAAGACATTTTTCTTATTATTATTTTAATACCTAATTTGTTTCTATTTATTATAAATCACGATAGGTTATGAATACTGAAATTTTTTAAAAACTTATGATGTTTAATCTTTCCGTATGATGGTTTGTACATTTTTAATTATTCAATTCACTCCCTATTGTTTTTATCAGTTTGAAAAATAATAATATTTATTGCATTGAATAATTTTTTGCTTCTTTCAAATTTAAATATGGGAAAATTTCAGAAGGTAAAATAATTATTACACGTGGAAACATGATGCAATCGAAATTTTTATGAAGTTAGAACTGCCTTCCTAGTTCTTTGTTTTTACAATAAAATACGCACACATATATATTCAAGCGCATTAATTGCAATATGTATGAAAACATCTATATCGAAATATTTTTTAATTAATAGAAGAAAAATGTAAATTTGAATATAAATTAAAATGTTATTATTTAATACCTTTAATTATTATTATTAATATATATATATATATATATATATATATATATATATATATATATATATTTATTTTTTTTTTTTTAATAGAATATATAATATGTTAGGGGAATTCTATATTGAATTAAACGGAAATAGTGTATTCTCAATTATAAATTTTAATAAAAAGAAATATCTTTAATACATGATTTGTGAGCATTATTTAAACACAATCTATAAGTGATAATGATTTACTTATTTCCAAACAATTTGACTTGCTTGATGAACTAGCTTATCGATAAACGTACGATTAAACATAAAAAGGAATTAATACTATTATCAACATTTTGGGATCTTAAATTAATAAGGCCGTTTATTCATATATAAATAATAGAACGTAGTAATACTTTCAGAATTACAAAAATATGTAAAGTCGCTTTTCCACGCGTTGAAAAGTTTTAATTTCATGTATAACGAAACTTCTGGAATACTATATATGCGTTAATTTCGCGCGTAGCCTTTTTAAAAAATGCAATTATCATCGTTTCTTTAGACGCGCATAGTAAGAACCAATCAACGAGACGATCAATGATCACTAAATCCTTAAAGATAAAAGACCCCTCGACTATCCATGCTGTTATTTGAATTTTAGTTGCAGAATCAATATTTGACTCGGACAATTTCCGTAGAAATGCATCGCTTCGAAAGCGTAGGCCTCGTCGAAGATTCTAGTAATAAAAGTATTCGTCCGCGGTAAAGCTACGGATAAGGCCTACGAGCGCCAAAATGATTCCAGAAGCTTCCAGAGCCAGCGCGTACGGAGTTCCGGCCAGCCAATGGGAAAGCGGAACGACTACTATGACTTTACTCCTAATCTTCTCCTTCAAGCTTTCAATTTAGCAGAAAGCGCTCGTAGTACAGGTATCGTCGTGGTATTCGTCTTCAAATATTACGACGGAGTCTATTTTACGATCGTACATAAGTAAGGCAACGGGGTTGAACGGGACGTAAACGAGCGAACGGTAATAAAGGCGATATCGATTTCAACGTGAAAAAGTGCTGGAGCTCATTGAACGAGCACCGACATTTCTTAACCTATAAGAAGGCGGCTCGCTTCACACCGAGAGAGCGAACAGTTACCGGTAAGTTTCGCTGGTGGGCTGTAAAAAGAGGAAAAGTAATAGAAGAGTCACTCGCTTGTCGAGCTTCTACGACGCTCCGTCTAGTGATATTGACCGTGTAAGGAATTACCGAGGCACGTGTGCGCGTGTCTACGAGTTGCTGGGAGAAACGAGAGGCTTTTGAAACGAAGTAAAAACTGTTATGGCCGCTATGTCTGTAATCGGGATAGATTTCGGCAACGACAACTGCTACATTGCTGTTGCTAGAGCTGGCGGCATCGAGACCATCGCTAATGATTACAGCCTTCGAGGCACGCCGTAAGTTTTGCGACTTTCATTAGCTTCATGAATTTCTTATATCGCTTCTTATAACCCATCATCGGTCGATTGGGTTAGCAAACGATTTCAAAACGTTTGTCGAATAACTTTTATAAGCAATTCATTCATCGTTTAGCAGTAGTAGTAGTAGTTTTTACACAATCTCTATTATTTACAGATATAATCCCTTAATATTTCTATATTTTTATGCTGTAACAATATTAAGTAATGTAAATGTACATGCGTTTGTTATTTTGAACGCTTTATTTTTGTTATAAATGGAATTATTGTATACCTTCAGTCTTCTATTGTAATTTAATTTTCTATTCTAACATTGTAATTTGCAACATTATCTACTTCAATTAAACTTTTAACAACAAAATAAACAAGTGAGATACAATAGTGTAATAATGACTTGAACATTTTTAAAGTAATTTCTATAAAATATTCTTACCTATAAAATTTTGTTATGATTGATTATTCCTATCTGAGTTTATTATTTAAGTTAATAAGTATTATATATTTGTACTAAATGAAGTTTACTTATCGTTGATAAATATATTACATTAATATACTTTGTAAAGCTATTTAAGTAGATAAATAATAACAAGTATTTTTTAAATAAGAAATACATTTTTTGTGCAAAATCTATTGTAATTATTTATTGTGCTTATATTTAATAAGTAATAAAATACTTTTGTTTTCTTATAATTAAATCTTAATTAAAATTTATCAAACTAATCTGACGATGAATCAGCATTATTTAGTTTACTAAATTTATGTATTAATAGAAAATCTAGCCTTTGACTATGCAAATAAAAGTATATAAATTCTTTTATATTTCATTTAAATTAATACAAATATATGGGATGTTGTTTCATTTTTTAATTTTGTTATGAGAAGAATTAACTTATTTTTTTTGTTTTTGTTTTATTTTATATTTATTGCTTCAAAGTTTATAGATAAATTATAAAAAAATCTACTTTTTAAAATGTACATTAATTCATTTCAGTGTTTTCAATTTATGTAACTTATTAAATACGTGTGAAGCATCAATTATCAATACATTTGTAATGTTATATATATGTATAATTTTATATTTTATGGTTGTGCTATTGTTACAAGTTTTCTTCATTTAAGTAAGCTTTTATTTTTTATCTTTACCTTTATTGTTTAATTAAAAAAAATTTCACTTTCAATCTTCATGCCAAAGATATAATGATCCATTTATGTGAGGTTAGAAATTAATCCTATATAATTTATTAAATTTGGGCAGCATTATTATAATATGTAATTGATTAATAGATTCTTACTTGTGTCATTTATTTAAATTCATGTATTAATTTAAAGTTTTAACTTTTTATTACATTATGATGTGTATCAAATTAATGTATATAATTATTATTAATTTATTCTTTTTTATACAAAATGAAATTATATATAAAAATTTTTTAAATAAAATTCGAAGATTTTAATGTTTTCTACTTCGATTTTCAAAAAATTTTTTTTTTTTTACAATGCACGATAAGAACTTTTATTGCAGAAAAATTATTTTTAAAATATTTTCAAATATTCCATATATATATATATATATGGAATAAATATATATATTTATTATTTATTATATATATATAGTATATATATAGTATATATATAATATATATATACTATATATATTATATAGTATTTTATATATAAATTAGTTTGTATAAAATAAGTATTGTATATTATATATATATATATATATATATATAATATATATATAGTATATATATATTAACAAATCTATTAAATAAATATATTTGTTCATATAGTTTGTAATAACACTTGGTAACTAAAATTACGTAAAACTATTTTATGAAGTATTATCAAATTCTTATCAATATTGAGAAAAAAGAACTTGATCTGCAATTTACATTTTTATATTAAAAAAAAATAGATTAATTTAGATTTTCATATATTTTATACTGCTTATTGAACGAATGTTTCTTTATATTTTTAATTAATTTTAATTTATTTTAAAATACTTCCAATTTTAGTAGTATTATATTTGACTTATTATCTTAATTTAAAAACAAATGCAATGTCTATCGTCCGTGGTCATTTATCATATTAACTAGTCTTTAAGTTAATATATTTTCTTAATATGTAAACAAGAATTATTATATAAGTTTTATATGCATATCTTCCTGGACTTTTGGGTTCTAAAGAATTCTAACATACGTATCTCATAATTAAATTATTATGTTATTTTGTTGGTTGTACAATCGATAAATCAAACGTTTGTTACGCGAATAGAATAAAAGCTAATCGATAATGAGTAAGGTTTCTAGTGAACTCCATAAAGTATAAAATCTTGAGAAAGCAAATGATTCTATGGTTCAATTAAGCTGATGCATTTTAATTAATTCTGATATAGAAAAATGTTTTTATTTTCTTTAATTAATTGAATTAAAAAAAATGAAAATCAAAACATTAAATCGGTTAGCAATAATATTATTAATAATAATTTGTATTCCATAAATACTTTCTTATATCGTTAACTTTAAAGTAATTTCATTAATAGAATATAATAAAGTGTATGTATGTAATAACTATAGCCTCAACTCTTGTAACCTAGATTCAATTTTAATATATTGGATCCATTTTCACGTACGCTAATTTATCAGCTTTCAATAATATTAGAATTATGTTAATTGTTTAAACTTATATAATATCTGCTGTACTATTCTTGTCATTAAAGGAATATTAAGAAAAAAAAGCTATAATAAGAAATCAAATCTGCAAATCAAATATTGAAATGTCAACGCTTGTATAGAAAAACGTAATTATTAATCACATTTGTAATGCGTCGCAGGCAGAGAGAAGCAAAAAGGAAAAAGCAAAGCAGATTGCATGATTTAATATCATCAACATTATGTCGCACCTCCAGATTATCGTAAAGTCTATAATTGACACGATAACCGCGTGCGAACGAACGCCAACTTTTTTTTGTCCCTCCTTTGGCCGTACAATGCACATGTACAACAACTCACGTGCTCCCGTGGGTTAACGAAAAAGGAAAGCGCACGCACCTCTATTTAAAACAAATGACTAATATAATTCTTGTGTATACGATGACGGGTTACCGCGATTCCTTATTTCGCTGTAATATTATGCATTGATTTTTTGCGTAATTTGGATCTTAGAATAAGATTCATTTACGACGGAGTGGGGGTGACTTATAATATCCCTGTATTAACTGCCCAACTGAACGTTAATTTCATATTTTATTACGTTTTAACTATATTTCTATTTCTATTCAAGGATAGGAAGATGCTGTTTCACGTAGGCGTGCGAAGATATTAGTAGGATTCGAATATAGATTTATATTATTTAGATAATTGTTTTTATAATGTAGGATTTATTCAGGAATATGTTAACCCTTTTATTTGTGTATATTTGTTTTTTTTTTGCACTAATTAAGATAAAAAAAATTGTTGGATCGACTTTGTGGTTATAGTAATTAAACATGTACCGCCAAACACTTCTATATTCCTTGTGTTTATTAACATAAATTAATACAGTAAGTTAATTATAGATGAAAATTGAAACGAATATAAGTGGATACGTATTCAGTTGATAAAATATTTTTACGGACAATAAATATGCCATCCAATCAGTCAGCGATGCAAACAAAAAAGTTAAAATTTTTATTCACGCCCGAAAACGGTACGACGTTAGTATCAATTAGTGTGTACCAATTGACACGTGACAATTGCCCAATTGCTTCGCTCTTATACACGTGCAGTATCTGCAAAATAACATGTGACATTTGTCTGATGATTGGTTTGGGGTAACCGCTCATCCAAAAGAAGATAGTGTTTTGTACGTAACAAAGTAAATTGTATATAAGATTGCATTTAGAAAGTAGCAATAAATATATATAAATCTATCTGTTTTTTTTTCATCTTTGCGATTGACCCCCTTCGCTTTAAATGGAATCATAAAACTTTGCAGATTTTATTAATAAGTATAATATCGATTAATACCCCATGGTTTGCAAGCTTGCTTAAAAGAAAATAGTTCTCGATTGTTAGCATGTCATAAATATGAGACCCTCCTCATATAATGATTTCCATTGAGAGAACCAAAGCCGAGTAGCTAATTGTATGTTTACCGTTTTATGTCTCATTTTGATGCGATATTCCATCGTATGCGATGATGTCAGCTGCACCGTCGCAATTCTCATTGAGATCCGATAAACGAGCTCTTTTCAAGAAAAGAAGAAAATCTTGGGAGGCTTTACTCCGTATTAAAATTTGTTTTCATCTCGACGTAAGATTTCAACATGGCGCGCAGTCTATCGATTCTTTACCTTTAACGCACTCCAAGGAATTACGCTTCTTTGTCGATTTTATTACATTAATTTGACCACGGAAAAATGACGACAAATAGAAATACTAATAAAACAACGACGTAATCAAGCATTTTCCAAATGTTGCAGATCATGCGTGGCGTTCAGTCAGAAAAATCGTATCCTTGGCGTGGCCGCCAAAAATCAAATGCTGACCAATATGAAGAATACGATATACGGCTTCAAACGACTCCTCGGAAGACAGTACAACGACCCCTTCGTTAAGAACGAGCTGCAGTCGCTGCCATGGAATTATAGCAAACAACCCGATGGCAGTATTGGCATACATGTAAGTCTTCGCCCACGGAGAGGTGGGCGCCTCGTCCATCTCTTACCCCTACTCATCCTTCGCTTCCACCACTTCTTCCTCATTCACCTCTTCCTCCTCTTCCATCAACACTTTCCCGTCCTACTCATTTTTCATTCAATCTGTCTACCTTAAACATGAAATAATGTATAGTTGAAAACTTTTTTGGTTAACTTGTTAAACAATTTTTTATGGGAATTTTGCTTGGCGATATTTTCAAATGTAGATGCATTTTTTGTACCAGGAAGATAATTTATTATGTCCGTTAAAAATTTATTCCCATTTTCTTATTGGAGAATGTAATTATCAGTAATAATCTACATTATGTTTTTGAGCTTCGTAAATTTAACGTGTAGCGAGTAATGGTGTCAAGGCATGGTTAATGTCTTATATCTTATGGCTGAGAAATTATTACGTGATCCTTATTTATCATTAAGAATTATCACTGTTAAAGACATTATTCTACCTACAGCATTAGACTACAAAACTTGTAGAATATTATTACATTATTAAGAATTTTAGCAAAATACCCTGTTCTATCATTGTACAGATCATGTCGTCAAAACAAAATTGATTTTCGTAAAAAGTTTTAAACTTTGAATCACATCTTAATAATTTGAGTCACAACTTTGTTTGCAAAAACTTTTTTTTCTATATCATAATTATTAAGGGAAATACTATTAATATTTGAGTTTCTCTTAAATATCTGAATATAAGCTCATTTTGAATAAAATTGATATATTTTTATTTCGAAAAATTAAAAAAAATGTGCGTACAAATTGATGTTTTATAGGCAAATTTTTTTAAGAAAAAACTTATTTTTATTTTTTAATATTTATATATTTTTTATTTGAAATTGATTTTGTAAATAATTATCAATAGTTTGTTTAATATTTTAATGTTTATATATTATAATTTATTAAAATTGTGTTAAAAACAATTATATAAAATATGAAAAATAATTTTAATGATAGAAAAAATATTTGAATCATATTGCTCTTAATTTAATTTAAATACTATATATTCTAACAAAATATTATATCCAATTAAAAAAAAAGAGAAATAAATATGTACTAATACGTTATCTATTAAATAAATATGAAATTTTTATAAAAAAATTATATAATTTGGTATTTATTTTGTAAAGTATATCAATGTTTAACTATAATATAGAGTAACTTCTTGTATCTTAAAAAACTTGATTGGCTTTTTTAATACAAAAATATACGATATATTATCAAGAATGAAATATCATCTATCTTTTTGTTAGTTTTATTTGTTATGGCTAAGTTAGCGTATTTCGTTTGAATTGAATCACTAATAAATGAGTTATTTTCTCGCGTTGTTGATCATTGCACTTCGAAATTTTACTGTTTTGATCATTGAACTTTTAGACGTGAGTAATATGAAAATTAATATGAATGTTTCAACCATCGTAATTCCTATTAATATTTTATTTCTTTATCAAAGTTTCATAAAATATTCATATGAATTCGAGAATATTATATTATTATTTATTTTACAGGCTATACATAATCTTATAATGTTTGAATATATAATGTAACTATAAATATTATATTTCAAGCAATATTAGAAAGTTATTAGAAGTAAATTTATAATTTTCAAGAATTTTTCAATTTAGATATTTAGTAATGTTTTATAATTTTACGATTATTTTCATTTACCATTTTTACATTATTATAAATAAGAGACTGAGTATGCATGGCAAGTATGCATTTTTAAAATTGAAGAAGTTTGTTAAAATTAATTTTGTATTTTATAAACAAATATTTGTAGAAAATTATTATTATTATTATCATTATTATTAATATATATAATTTATACATAAAAGCATATTACAATTATTTTAAAAATAGTTTTACATAAATTACAATAATTACAATATTTTTATATATTTTAGAGACTAAATTTGGATATATTGGATATATAATTAAATACATTTGATAGCTTGGGACTGTATATTGTACGAATTTACCTTGACCATACAAATAATCCGTAGTTTAAAAGTGCATATTTTATTAGCAGCTAAAATATCAACTCAAATATAAATATGAAAACATGTCTACGGTTATTAGTTTCGCTCGACGCATTATTTCATTCGTATTTTTATAGAAAGGACAGTAATATATAAAAATTAATTTGTATTTAAAAAGCTTCTGTTAAATGTTCACGTATTCATAATGCCTTGCGATTCCTTTATTTTATATTTCAAATGCTCTATTTTATTGCTCTCGAATAATTATCTGATTGGGTGTTAGCACTCAAATTTTTTCTATTCAAGAAGTTATGAAAGCGTCCACTTAATTTTAATATGAAAACTCTTGATGCACAGGTACGATATTTGGAAGAGGAGCATGTGTTCACATCAGAGCAGATAACGGCGATGCTCTTCACAAAGCTCAAGGATATAGCAGTGACAGCTCTGCAAACAGCAGTGAACGACTGCGTGATCTCGGTACCATCGTATTACAGTCAGGCAGAGCGTCAGGCCCTTCTTGATGCAGCTCGTATCGCCGGTCTCAACGTCCTTCGACTTTTTAATGAGACCACAGCTACGGCCCTTACTTATGGCATCTACAAACAGGACTTACCCCCGACCGACACTGCTCCCAGAAACGTTGTATTCGTCGATTGTGGTTACGCGAGTCTTCAAGTATCTATCTGCGCCTTTCATAAGGGTAAACTTAAGGTGAGTTGATCGAAAATAATTAATATTCTTATATGCTTCTTATTATTTATTATTCTTATTATCTATCTTATTATTCTTATTATATATTCTTATTCTAATAGCATTCAGGTGGGCAGTGCGAATCTATTTTATCGGATAATGTAGTTGTAGAAAGTTGAATGGCAGTGTTGACCAGTCACACGATGTGTCATGCTTTACTGATGGAACGTTTACTTTAGAAATTGTGTAATTGAAAATAAAAAATAAGCTATTCAATTAAAACAATAACGTACAAGTTGTTCTTTTGTTAATTTTATCTTAAATGGTGCGAAAATGGAAAAGAATATTATTTCAAATTATTAAAATGCCTACAAATAGGGACCATCAAAGACAATTTTTTGTGTAAAACCTTTGATGTTGTGAAATTATATTAGAATATTCATTAAAGTCATATCTATAGATGCAATGTAGAACAACTTATTATTTTTTAAATGTTATACAAGTTTTTTAGTTGTTATTATTCATAATATATTATTCATCTATAGTTGATAATTATGCTGATAAATTTTCATGAATGTTTAGAACTTTTGTAATAGCATCATATTGTGATTTAGGCTTTTATGAAATGAAATTTTACTTTTATTTTTATTTAAACGTTTTTGTTGAAATACAATCTTACGTTTAGTTAAACAACCTACTTTATAAGTCTGCTTATTAATTTTATGATTCATTTGATTTTTCTTTCAACTGTTTTTGTTGTTTCTACACAATCGTAAAATTTGGCAACGATTAATATCTCATATACGTTACCAGTACATATTGGTTTTTTTTAAGTCTAAATTAGATTAAGTTGTTCATAAATACTGTTAGTGTGGACGTACTTTCTAAGTTCACGGATTTATCGTTACGTTGAAGTTATTTAAAATATTTAATTTTATTATATGAACTTACAAATTCAATAGAATTCACACAAGTTGTATTTTCAGAAAATAAACGAAATTCAACTATATTTATGTCTAGCATTTATTCTAATATCAGCGTAAATGAAATATTTCATTGTTTCTCTTAGATGATAGCAAGTGCAGCGGATAGTCAAATGGGCGGCAGGGACATCGATGTTATCCTTGCAGATTACTTTTGCAAGGATTTCAAAGTCCGATACAAAATTGATGCACGTCAAAATACCCGTGCTTATCTTCGGCTGCTGAGCGAAGTTGAGAAACTAAAGAAACAGATGTCGGCTAATTCGACCAAGCTGCCCATCAACATTGAGTGTTTTATGGAGGAGAAGGACGTACACGGCGAAATGCAGCGTTCTGAAATGGAGGTCATGTGTGCTCATCTTTTCAAGCGTGTTGAATTAACTCTGAGGCAGTGTTTGACACAATCTAGTAGGTTTTATTATTGTTACTTTAGTTTTCCTAATGACCGAAAATTCAATCTTTCATCAAAAAATCTATTTCAATTGAATATTTGAAGTTGAAAGCAGTTTTTTGGCTTTTGAATATTGTTTTCAAATATTGGTATTCTTTTATTAAATTAATTAAATTTCTGTTTTAAAATATCAAATAGTTTAATATGTACAAAGTACAGAAATTAACAAAATGAATTTAGTAATATTTTTTATCAGACACTTTTTAAATAAAATGAATTTTTATAAATTACTAACTTTGTAACACTATAACTTTGTAAGAAGGGACTTTCTTAAATATTACGCAATGGGAAAATACCTCAAAACATTCAATTAATTAAAAATTTTCAAGTTCAAAAATTTCAATCGAAAACATTTTAATTTTATATAATTAATTATAAAATTTATTAAATTCAATTGTAAGCATGGTAAACGTGTATCTAATACATAAACAATTACAGAGTTGAAATTGGATGAGATCCATTCAGTGGAACTTGCTGGTGGTTCTAGCAGAGTACCAGCTATAAAAAAACTTGTTGAGGATGTATTTGGTAAACCTTGCTCGACTACCCTCAACCAAGATGAATCAGTAGCACGTGGCTGCGCCCTCCAATGTGCCATGCTCAGTCCAGCTGTTAGAGTTCGAGAATTTTCAGTCACTGATATTCAATCCGTCCCTATTAAATTGACTTGGGATGCCAGTCAAGGAGAGGCTGGGTGAGTTCTTCAATATTTTTCATGATGAAGGAATCTTAATATCCAAGAATTCGAATTTCTTCAAATAAAATTTCTACCAGTCAGTTAATGCATTTGTATAATAAGGTTATTAAAATCTAGTATTTTCACATTGTATACAAAGTATTTTTCTGACATTCTAATTAATTAGATTTATAAATTTGATATAATAGCTTTTTTTATATTCCATTGTTTATTGAGATTTTATTCTTTAAAGTATTTTGCTTATATTATTTTTTTATTATTACTGTGTAATTAAGGTTATTATAAATTTAAAAATAATTTTCTTTTATATAAATATAATATTTATTTAATTATTTATTTAAATTTATGAAGGATGGGTTAATCATAATTTGTAATTATTTTTTTTTTAAAGAAAAGTACTGCCTTTATAAATCAATATAAATTAATTACTTTACCATAATATGTCATAATATAAACCATACTACGTTTTCTTACCGATTTATTAAACTAATTGATATTTCATTATCATTAATTAAATTCATTATTATTCTTATTATCAATTAGATTATATTTATTTTCTATAATATTTTAGGGAGTTGGAGGTATTCGAACAGAATCATCATATTCCATTTTCCAAGATGCTGACATTCTATCGTTCCAATCCATTTACTTTAACCGCTAGCTACAGTGTGCCATTGGCAACATATCCTACAAATGAAATTGGTATGATGATAGTTATTAATTTTTATAAAAATTTACTGTAGCATTAGTAAAGCTTGTAATATTTACTTTCTCTATTCTATTTTTGATAAATTATATATAAGATATAAATATAATAATAAATTTGTAGGTATATTTACAATCAAAGATGTGAAACCGAATAAGGAAGGAGAATCATCAAAAATAAAAGTAAAAGTTAGAATAAATTTGAATGGTATTCTAACAGTAGCATCTGCCTCTCTTGTAGAGAAACATGAACAAACACCACAAGAAAAAGAGGAAGAAGAAAAACAAAAAGCACTGAAACAAGAAGCTATGAATGTTGACCAACAACAACAGGATAAGAAAGATAAAACAGATCAAGATGCAGAAGCTAAAGAACCTCCTGCACCAGAGGTAAATTTTTTTATAATATTTATATTTATTTTATGTGAATATAATTTGGTGATAGATAAAATCCCTGATTTTCCTCATAATATATTTACAATTTGCAATTTCATATATGTTATACTTAAAAAAATGTTGGCATATCATAAAAAGAATATATTAAAACTTGGACATACATTTTTAGTATTCTATAATTAAAAGATTAGTTAATAATTATCCAGTTGTTTTATATTATAGGTTTGATTTATCGAGCAGCATTAATTAAAATTTACAGAAAATGAAATTTAATATAGTAGATTTGTAAACGAATACCAACATATCACAAACATATATAATAAACTTTAAAATCGAACAATTATTTATTTTTTTTTTTTTTATACTTTTGCGATTATTTAAATAAGATTAAAAACAAAATTTCCACTAATAATTTTCTATGTATATTAACTAAACAGTTGTTCAATTCTTCACGTTTATTTGATTTGGCATTGGAATTTTTAAATTATTGTCCAATAGGAATATAAATTGGATTTAAAAAATAATTTTTTTTTAACTAATTGATATTCAATCAAATGCATAATTTAATACATATTGAATAATATGAAGAATTTGCTAATTAAAAAAAAAAAAGTATATTTATATATATATATATATTGTTAATATTCATGAAATAGAAGAATTTAGTAATTTTACATAATTATATGTAGAAAAGCACTTTAATATCCATGAAATAGTGTGCACATAGACTGGCTGGGGAATTACGTAAAGAAGAACATGTGTGTTTGTTATAATCTAGGTGAAAATGGATAAGTTGCGGCGGAGCTCAGATGACGAGGATGACGCGAAGGGCTCGTTCTACTCCTCCAAGATAAAGACTGCTCTGTCCTGGTTCAACTCGGTACGCGACACACTTATTGCCACTCACTTGGACCCATAAGCGTACACATTCTGATTCCAATTACTGTTTTATTATACAATTTTAAAGCAGAAAGTACATGATTGCACTGATTCATTTTAATTTCATTCTTTTTATTTGTCTTCATTCTTTGTTTATTTATTTTCGAAATCAAAGAAACGTATAAAATTATAACAGGATATAGAGAACAAATTACATAAATTTATTAATTAATACTTTAGGAATAGGAAAGTATTTTAAAAATTCATATAATGATATACAATCAATATGTTGTATTAAATTTAATTTTAGTAATTTATGTTATTAATTAGATTATTCAAATTAATAAGGATATTTAAATTCAAACGATTTAGTTTTCAAGATTATTAAAAGTTTTAAGAGTTTCACCAAGCATAAACAATTACATTATGATTTTTTAAGGAATTAATAACACTTTTTTACTAACAATAAAACTGATTTTTTTTTAATTTTAAATTAAGTTTATTTGAAAGTCTTAGCTATATATTAAATCAATACAGATTTATACAATTTTTATTATTATTCTTCTATATGTAAGTAGATCTATATAATTTTAGATATTTATATAATTAATTTTATTAATTATAAATAATTCTATTATCACGTTTTTTAAATTTTAAATTTTAAATTTTGTTTATTTTTGTTTTTATAAATTTTGATTTGTTAACGAGGAAAATATTATATATATGTTTTTATGTAGATAGGTGTGGTATGTATTTCATATAAGCTTCTAAATTTTAGAAATTTAATATATATGTATGTATGCATCTAACAAGTTTCTAGAATTGGATAAATCAATATTTATATATATAGTTTTTCCAAAATTTAGAATATACATTTTATTTATTTATATATGAACAAGGGTAATTTTATTAATTTTTGAATTAACAATATTTTTCATATATTAATATTTTTAATAATCAATCATTTTTATGAATTTCTAAATTAAATTATACAATTGGAACACTTCTATATTTATGTAAAAATAGAATTTTTAAGATACTTACAGTTTTATAAATCTACACTTTTTGTAATGAAACAAATTGTTTAAGATTAATTCAAAAAGCTACTGTAAGGTTATAATTTTAAATCTATTAATTATGATATTCATGAGTTTAGAACAGATTTAATACACTGAATGAAAAAATATTTTAGAAAATGCATCAAACTATTAATGTAGAAATCAATGCTTGATTAAGTATTAAGTATTAAGAATTCTATTATATTAAATTTATATATATATATATATATATATATATATATATATATTTGTCTAAAATTTGAGCTTTAAAAAATTACCTTTGTAATAATATCATTGAAAATTATTATTGAAATCTTTTTAACCAAAGAAATTTTAAACAGTTCTTTGAAAGTATAGTCTTTAAATACAAATGTAATGCTATTTAGAACTCTTCTTACACTTTATTCACTACTTGGAACTCTTTTTACACTTTATTTACTAATTAGAACTCTTCTTATACTTTATTTACTACTTCATATTAAATAATATCACCAAAAGTTAATCGCTAAAAGTAATTCGTTTTCATAAAGAAAATTTTGTTTCCATTTATTATTAATAAATTGTTTTTTATAATTATAAAATTTTTATCATGAGCCAAATATAATAAATATTTATATCTAGTTTCACATATAATTTGATTTAATAAGTTATAAGCGATAAATCATAGTATAAAATTTTAAAATATCGCTATTAGTATTGAACTTGTCTCAAATTTTTTTTTTGTAAATTTCAAATTTATTTTTATCAAATATATGAAATACTTTACTTTAAAAGTAATAATCACAATTTAAAATAAATTATTGAATTATTATTTTCTTTTTCATCTATTTTTTTCCTCTTTTTCTTCTTTTTCTTATTATAAAAGTGTTTCACCATTTAATCATTAACTTTATATAGCACATTTTGGAGATTGTTAAATTAGGTTAATCTCTAAAATATTGATATGCATATGGGTCCAAGATAAAGTTGTGTCACGTTGTGTTGTTTTATACCACCTGTTTTATTATATTTTGTTGTCCATATTATAACCTCTGTCATGTGCGAAAATGACAAGACTATTTAAACATAGCAGTTATTTTAAATTTTGTAATTGGCTCTATACTAAAGTACGCAAATGTATGTAATCATCAGTTTATTGGAATAATTTAATAAATTACTGGAATCATTCTTTTTCATGAATTAGTGCATAAAATAAATTACTTCAGCACATTACACATATATAGATAGCATTATATTTTTATTTAATAATTCAATAAATTCATTATTGAATATCACTGATAAATTTCACTTTTACTAATATACTTAAAGTATTGCTTCATCGATATATTGATAACAATTAACAATGTCATTAATGAAGGTCATTTTTGTGTAAGTTGCTTTATTGATCAGTTATAACGTGCTTTTTTTTAATTATACATGTTCAATGAACCAAATTACAAGTTTTAATAATTTTAATTTTGATCCTTTCAGCATATATGAAATGAAAAATAGTTACTTTTAAATTAATTTGACATAAATATGTAGTTTCATACAATGTCTCTGTTTTGTTGTAGGCTGATGACAAAGCAGAAGATGTTAAAAACAAAGTCAAGGTTCGCCATATCAGTCTTCCTATTGACGTTTGCGGATATGGATTATCACAATTAGATCTTGATAATGCAACAGAGAAAGAGGTAAATTTAAAAAGTTAGATAACTAAAATGTTGTCCACTTCTGATTTCTGTAAATACTTATCAAAATTATAAAGTCGTTAATAATTAATTATCTTATAAGAAGTATAAATGTAAAAATTAAAATTAATTTTACTTGTTGATTTTAAAGTATACATAATTCAAAATCTAATAATTAAATATAGTATTTATTAATAATTCGAAAATATATAATAATAAAATAGCATGCATCCTATTTATTTGTACCTTATAAAAATTTAAAATACTTTTGTAATGTTTAATTTTATATAATTTTATTAATATATAATTCAATTGTATAAATAATACAAATATTACGATAGGGAAAAAAATCAGTGATAATGGATTTTATAACAAGATACATACAATTTAAAAAGAATATGCTTATAAAATATTTTCGAACATTCAATTACAATTTTCATTTTTACAGTGCAAAATGGTGGCTGAGGATCGACAAGAGAAGGAGCGCGTTGACGCACGTAACGCTCTTGAGGAATATGTGTATGATTTACGAGCAAAGATCTCGGACGAAGATCAATTGGCTACGTTTATATTGGAGGCAGATCGGGAATCACTTTGCAACACTCTTGACGACACTGTGATTTGGTTGTACGAGGACGGTGATGATTGCATTCGTCAAATATACTCTGAAAAACTATTGCGGCTCAAGGTAAGCCGCTTTATTTAATAGTTTGAAATACTTTATAGCCGTATATACGATAGCCTTGATAAATTGCTCTTGTAATTGTTAAATAATCATTTTTCGACACATCGATTCTAAGTATTATTCGCTGTTTCTAATAGTCCCAAGGCGAGCCCATCAAGCAATTGAAAATCGAATTCGAGGGCCGCGTACCGGCAATGGACGAGCTCGCCAGTGCCCTCCAGCTTGCCACAAAGAGTGTGGAACAGATCCTTTTATCTCAAGGGAATGACGACAAGTTTAACCACATCACCGATGATGAGATTAAGAAGGTACAACGGACAATACAGAGTAAGTGGTCTTGGCTCGAGGAGAAGCGCGTATTATTCTCTCAGACGCCACGCACCCAACAACCGCCTGTCTACATTAATCAAATACAAGCCGAAAAACAGGTGAGAAATATATATTTATATATTATGTAAATATTTTTTATAAGATTTTTAAACTCATAATGTGTAAACTATAAAATATTATTGTTTAGGGTAAATTATTATATTTGTTAAATTATTCTTTCAAACTTTTAGTCTTTCATTTCATATACGAAGATGTAGTTTTAAGTAAAAATCATTTGCATTATGCAAATGATATTTGCAATTATATTACTATTTCTTAAACTCATATAAAGTAAAGTTAATAATTATTTTTAAATATTATGTTTTTATTTACAATATAATAGACTATATATAGTACAATACATTCAACACGAATCGTATATTGTATAAATTGTAATTATGTTTTCATGTTTATCTAAAATATTGTTTATTGCTACTGATTACATATCACTTTTGAAATAAGCATGGGTAGATTAATATTATTATTCCTCAATTGTAGTAATTACTCAGTTTTTTTTACTTCATTTCAGTCACTTAATAGTACAATCACTCCCATTCTCAATAAGCCTAAGCCTAAAGTTGAGCCACCTAAGGAAGAAAAGAAGGAAAAAACTGTTGAACAAAAAAACAACCAAAACAGTGAAGCACACAATCAAAACAACAGCCAGACGACCAATGAAGATAAAATGGACGTGGACGCTGCGACAGTAGGCGGCGAGAAATAAATGCTCCCTATTCTAACACCTAATCTCCTTATTTTCTAATAACATAATTAAGTATAATAATAAAAATAAAAAAGAATTATTCGAAGAAAGAAACGAACCTATCGAAGACTTCTTGAGCTCTTATGACGTCATTCTTAGAAAAGCCCTCTGACTTTTATTAAGCATTATTTTTGTTATTATTGTTTTTTCATATTTTGTCTTGTTAATCTATATTAATTTCTGTTTATATTTTCTTGGTTCTGGAAATATTTCTTATCATTTATTTGGGCCATATTAGATTTAATAGTTTTGTAAAAGTGAATTGTAATGCGTCTAAGTATTTTTCTACTGATGATATAAAACAAAATTCATAAAATATAAATAGCTAGTTATACGTATTACTTTCGCTTTTATTGAATTTCGGAATTTTCGAAAGTAAGAAGCTTTTTATATAATTTAAAATTATGTCCATACAGTAATATTTTGTATTGCAAGTTTTTATAAAATTATTAAAATCAACAAAAATATAGCATAAGTCAAAGTGATTTCCATAATGTATCAATTGCTTAGTTATGAGATTTTTAATAACAATGCCATTGGAAAAATTATCAGAGGGACAAAAGTTTAACCAAGTATGCAGACACTTCGGTATACAGAAACGAGACAATTTCTCCAAATGACCATTGATCACTGTAATTGTTTATTTTACAATTTAAAACGTTCAATATTTAATATTGGATTAATATTTCGTACTCATTAGATGATAGTTGCATAAATGCATATTGTAGTGTAGCTATTAGTTCGAATAGAAAAAGTGTGAAAGAATTTAATTATTTTACATACACTAGGAGTGTCTGTGTAGCTGACATTAATTGGTGATTAATGTGCCGGTGCCTTTGTAAGGAGGATACGTTTCTTTCTTCGTACTTAACTTGTGAATGGGACGAGAAACCTTTCGAAGCTTCCGATGCACTAAATACTATAGAAAGAGAGAGAGTACGAACAGCCCACAAAATAAAATTATACATAGTTATTTGTAATCGTGTATAATAATGTATAATTATTTATATATATAATTAATTAGATGACTATGTACAAAAGCTTAGAATGTCAGTGATTGCACATAAATTTTTGAATTTAATTTTTTACACTAAAAAGTAATTATAATTTTTCTTGGATAACTCTCATTTGAATAGTTCTAAAAAAGTATGCTGTGTATGTCACGAAGTTCTTTCCAAATGAAGTACATGTCAGCTAAATGTAGATTAAACAATTCCAATTAAATAATAAAAACAAAAAAAAGGATTGACTCAGGGTAATATCGCTGGCGATTTTATGTATTTAACAACATATACTATGAGTTTTTTCATTCCATTGGTTTGTTAGTCGATCATTGTCAAAGCTCATGTGTAAATCATGTGTTTCGTTTATCAATACTTAAATTAATGACTAAAAAAAAAAGGGAACTGACCAAAATGATTTTCTTATTGTATGTACCTCTGCTCTACTATTGTGCGTACCTCTCCATTTCCCTTACTTATCAATTTATATACATTTAGTCACATATGCAATCAAAATACATTTACTAGAAATATAAATATGGTAAATTATAAAAAAAAATTTTTTTTAAAAAATTAAAAAAAGGGTAAGAACTTCGAAGGTTTTTCGTTATTATAGTTAGCTTGAATTATTATTGCATAGGAATTTTTAGATGTTAAAACACGAATTCTAAGTAGAAACAAAAAGACTTAGTGTAATATGTACAGTTAATTTCGTTGTTCCTGTCAATATAACTTACAATCTTTAGACAATGTCATTTTTGTTCGACTCTACTCTCTTTTTCTTTCATTATTTTATTTTTCATTCAAGTTACTTTTTGTCACTAACTAGATTTTTATCGAGTTAAATCTTTTTTATTTTGAAAAAATAATAGTGAAAAATAATATCTTGAAAAAAATTAAATCTATTGTAACTACACAATAAAAAAAGCTTGTCTAATATAAACAAAAATTGGTCCATTTATTTCATATAAACAATTCTTTTCCCAAATATAAATCATATATTAATATTATTGATTCAAGAGTTGAATAAATGCATATAAAAACTGACAATTAATCAGACTTCATCTGCAGTTTTGATGGTGTGTCAAAGTATGCTCTATATATAAATGCTCCAAGAGCAATATGCAATATCGCAATTGCTACTCCAGCCGAGTAAACATTACTTGTTACTGTTTCTAAACCAAGCAATTCTGCAACATTAAATTAACATTAAATTATTTTAATTATTTATATAATTTTCTCTTATATAATTATTTAAAAGAAAACTGGTGTCTAATTGTAATTAAATATACTTTATTCTGATTTCATTCCTTTATTTTTATTATACGTATTTTTAAAGTTTTTTCAAAAATGGGAAATGGAATTTATTTGTATAATATATTTAACAATGTATATTTAGAATATGGAACTCTAATTAGCTTTTAAATTGAAAAACAAAATTAAAGAATATAATAATACCTACTATCAAAAATAAAAATTTTACTAGTGAAAAATGATATCACAGGAAATGTTATAATTATAATACAATGCAAGAGAACTGTTTTAAATACTTGTAGTTCAGTTTGTTCCTGAAAAAAAACAAGTTTATTATATTAACTAGTTTGTTACATAACCTTAATTATATTATATTTTCAAAGAACATGTTATAAGCATAATTATTAATTAGTCTAAACGTATTCATAATCTTAAATAGATAATCATAAATTAATTTTAATTAAAAAGTGAATTTAAAATAAGATTTTAAATAAATTTTCTAATACAAAAGTAAAATTCGAATTTAAACGTTCTATTCTATAATAAACTTTACTTAATTATGAAATATATTTTTAATAATTTTATAAATTAAACGTTTATTATTTCCTTACCTTTTGATTAGTCATAATTATTTCTTTAAAAATTAATTATCGATTAAATAATTTGTTTTAGTATAAGTAGCAATGATAGCTATCACATAACCAAAAATGGTTAATTTTTATACCTTTATTTTCTATTGTTCACTATAATAGAATAGGAGTATTCCTTAAAAAGAATATAATAATGCAATAAGTTTTATATTAAGTTATTTTACTTCTTTACATTAATACTAATGCATGTAATTTTGAAATTAATAAAGTTATTCTTGATTATAAGAGTATAGTATAAATTCTAAAGCGCCAAGATTTCAGATCTCATGTGATCTACGAAATATTCCTTTAAATTAGCATGTGTGCAATCCCTCTAACTGTGTTTTCATTACATACTATTGGTCGGTAATGCAGGCAGAAACATATTTCGTTGAGTGCATATTGATATTACTATTAGTAAAACTCTATGTGTATGATCAACAAGAAAACAAGTTGTTTTGACAGCAAATTGAATTAGTATAATTTATTAGTTTAGAGAATAATGCTTTAAGTTTTACATATAGTTGACCCTAAATGAATTTAAACCTGAATTTCTAACGATTTTGTCTTTATATATGGTTTTCATTTTTATCTGTGAATATTATAAAAAAAATTAATGAACAAATGAAAGTGGTTTATATAAGTTTATTACATACGTTTTGTTTGATTGAACCAACTGGATTTTCTTAATTTTCTTATTAATTATCCGCACACACACATATATATATATATATATATATATATATATATATATATATATATATAATCATATCAGAATTTACATTATTTATCGTTTATTAATATTTATAAATACATGTAACTTTATATTAAAGTCTTATAAAAATGAATTCTTCATCATTAGTTGGGAAGGTAAATATTTTATAACCTGTAGAATCAGTATTTTTATCTAAAAAAAATTTTTCAACTAACCTTCAAATAAATATACATATTTTTTTTATGTGAGAAAGTAAAAATTATAAATAACAATGATTTAGAAATGAAATATTATTCCATTTTATTTTCAAACTATCATACATATAAACGTTTTTTTATATAATAGCACCAACCATCTATTGCACAGCCACAAATACAGGAATTCAGTATTAGAGTACCAAAGTAATAATATTTTCCATAATTACTTTTATTTCAAAATTTGATAAACCAAACTAAGTGTGATTGAAATTTCTAGGAATAATAAAAAAAAGCATAATGTTATGCGTTTTAATGCAGTATTAAAAGTAGATTTTAAAGAATGGAAACAAGTAAAAATGGAAAGAGAAAATAATATGAAAGATTTTAAAGGTTTGGAAGAAGATATGCCAAAATTTGGTGCAGGGTCTGAATTTGGAAGAGATGCCAGAGAAGAAGCAAGAAGAAAAAAATTTGGGATTACCAGTAGAAAATACAAACCAGAAGATCAACCTTGGATATTAAAAGCTAATGGAAAGACAGGGAAAAAGTTTAAGGGTATTAGAGAAGGAGGTGTTAGTGAGAATGCAGCTTACTATGTCTTTACACATGCTCCGGATGGTGCGATAGAAGCATTTCCTTTACATGAGTGGTAATTTGTATAATTCATCTATTTAAAATGTTTAAAATATTTAAAATTGATATTACTTTGTACTTATACTATTCTTATATGTATATCTATACTTTATCCATCATATATCTATAATTATATTATAATAGATTAAATGATGGCTTATTAATTTTAAACTGTTTTTAAATTTTACAATTATTTTATTATGTTAACTATTGAATTTATGAAACTGATCAAATAATTTGTTTTTATTTAAACATTTTTTAAACATTAAAAATTTTTCTCATATATTTTATAGTATGAAAGTTTATAATTTCTTATTTTTCATAATTCAGGTATAATTTTCAACCTATTCAGAGATATAAAGCTCTAAGTGCTGAAGAAGCAGAACAGGAATTTAGTCGAAGGAATAAGGTAATGAACTACTTTTCGCTAATGTTGAGAAAGCGTTTACGTAATGATGAAGATGGAGGTGAAGATGGAGATTTATTGGATGGTGAAAAGGGAAAGAAACCAACAAAAAAAGAGAAGGACTTACAAATTTCAGAAATGGATGAGTGGATGGACAGTGATGACGATGATGACTCTGATAGTGATGTAAAGGAAGAAAAGAAGAAATCTGATGAAGAGGTTGATGCAAAGAAAAAGAAAAAGAAAGGTGTATATAAAAATACAAAAAATTTTAAAAGAATACTATATTTTATACAACTAAAGAATATTACTTGTTCCTTTTTTATTTTACAATAGCTTTAATTTATTTAATTATTACATAAGGTTTCAGAAAAAATAAGTTAGATTTAAGCTAATTATAAAAATTAGTTGTCTTGGAAAGAAAATTGAAAATAACCAATAAATTATCAATAAATTAATGCAATTTACAAATGTAATTTTTTCATGATTTTTATGATTTATAGAATAATATTTAATTTTTTTACAATTTATGATAGTTAAAAGGACAAATTTATTTGTTTCACTTAAGAAAGTGTATAATTACAAAGTTCACTTATATCAATAAAAAAAATATATTAATAAAAAATCAGTTCAAATTTTGATAAAATAAATTTGATTTTACAACAAATAAATTTACTTATCTGACAAAAGAAAATTAAATTCTGTTTTAATAGTTATCAATTAACAATTTTATTATTTCAAATATAAATCTTTGGATTTTTTATAATACGAAAGATAAGAATATTATTTATTAATTTGATTTAAACGAATGTTTGTAGGTGTTATAAAAAAAAAAAAAAAGAAGAATGCATCCGATGACGAAGCTTTTGAAGAAAGCGACGACGGCGATGAAGAAGGAAGAGAATGTGATTACATATCTGACTCATCTGCTTCAGATTCTGAATTAGAATCACAGAAAGAAATTAAATCAGTTGCGGAGGAAGACGCTTTAAGAAAGTTGTTAGCGTCCGACGAAGAAGACGAAGATGAAGAACAAGCAGATAAAAAGGACGACGATGAAAAAAATGATGAGGAAGACGGTAAAGAAAAGGATGAAAAAGTTAGTATAAATAAATCTTACAGCGGTATTGTAAAAAATAATCAAAAAACCAATCAATTAGCCGTGAATTTTTGTTCAAGAATCATTATATTACATAGAATACGTTAATTTTTCCCTTTGTATTGGTACACTGATAATGACATTATTTTTTTTTCGCATTTCGTTTATCTTTTCGACATATTTGTATACTACTATGTTCTTCTTATCTTGCTGAATGACTTGAAGCTTTCCGGAAATTATTTTTCCACCTGCCATCATAGAACTTATTGAATATTTACGCCAATCGCTATTTGGTAATTGCATTTCCAGCAATTTGATGAATGGGGTAGAATTTTGTTTAGCCGTCGGTGGTTTCTTTTTTTTGTGGTAATGTCATAGAATTATATATATATATATATATATATATATATATATATATATATATATATATATGTATGTATATATAACTATACATAGTGTCCTATGGAATAATCCCATAACGAGGCACTAACGAATGTTGGATTAAATATGCTTTATAAAATTAAATTTTAATTTCACCGGAAAGAAAATTTACACAAATTATTTAAATTATTAAAATAATATTAAAAAATAATAATAAATATTCATTTATCTGATTCAATGACTTGCATAGGATAAAGATAAATCCGGAAAAAGTAACGATAAAAAAAAAGACAAAAAGAAAGGTAAAAAGAAAAAGGACGACGGCTCTGATTCCTTTAGTGATATCGAGTCAGAAGCCGAACAAAATAAAGATTATAATAAGAAGCCAACTAGCTCACAAAGTTCAAGATCCGCAACGCCTACACCAACTATTACAGGCACAATGGATTCATTGAAAAGAAATATTGGTAGCTCGTCTGATTTGATACAGGCAAAGAAAATGAAACTCGAGAACAGTTATAGTCTGTCATCTTCGTCTTCTTATATTTCTGGATCCAGGTATACTATAGACTTTTATCAAATTTGATTATATGCAAATTAAAAATACTATTGGTAAATTTGTACAAACCTTTATATAATTTTAAGACTTATATTTTCATTATTCTTTTAGTATGTTCTTTGTTAATTTTTTAGTCATGCTATTTATATGTCTGAATAAAAAAAAGTAAAATAAAAAAAAAACTTATTCTTTTGTTATGACAAATGACTAAAATTTAAAAAAATAATATAATAATTATATTGGAATATTTTAAGTATCACGATTTTTATGTTTTATACAGTGAATCTGGAATAACAGAAGATGCGGTGAGACGCTATCTTATGCGAAAGCCTATGACTACTACAGAACTTTTGCAGAAATTTAAGTCAAAGAAAACTGGACTTTCTTCTGAGCAAATTGTTACTATTATGACTAAAATTTTAAAAAATATCAACCCTGTAAGTCAAAAGATTAAGGGTAAAATGTATTTTTCAATTAAAGCTCAACATCATCAGCAACTCCATTAAGATGCCTTATCAAATATTGATTAGTTAAAACATTTTTTGTTTTGTATATTTTATGATATATTAAATTATATTAACAGCAATATATATTAATATTTACTATTGCCTTATTTACCATATCAGTTTATGGTATTAAGTTTTTATTATATTATTAAGATCATCAATTTTAATAAAATGTTATCTTTAAGAATATTTTAGTTTAAACAGACACAGTCAATTAATATTTTAGAAATTTTATCAAAAATTAAGCTAATTATATTTTCTATATTTTCTATATTTAAAATTTATTCATACATTTGATCTATATTATAACTCCTATTAGAGATCATCCTTATAACATATGCATTAACTAATTAATTTAAGTAGTGTCAAGCAAATGTTAAATACATTAATTAAAACGATAATTTTCAGTCCCAATTTATGTGACATATTTAATTTGACTTAGTAACAATTTTAGCAAGTTGCTTATTGTTACAATAAACAAATTTTTTATATTGTATTTTTATTATAGTATGTTAAACTTATCATACTTATATAAATTGGCATCTATCATTTTATATGTATGAACAGTTTCTGTGATAATTACTTCACTACAATACAATCAAGAAATTAACCTTACGTAAAAAATATAGTTAGCTGAAATTTAAAATTTAAATATACTATTCCATTGGATTACTGTAAATGGCTTGATTCAATATCTGTTAGAAACTTGGGAATATAATTTTCATGATTATACATTAATAACTTTCAGTTCAATGTATTTAAATAAATACAAATAAACTATGTAATTGAAGTTCATATTAGTAACTTTTAATAAATTTTGTAATTGTTCATACAGTTTTAATTGATAAAATAATTTACGAATGTATTAAATCAACTTTGTACATAAGATTATAATAAAAGTATGTACACACATATAAAATATTATTAGATTAAAAAAATTTGTAGATATTTTTTTAAATATATTTAGTCATAACATCTTTTTAATAATTTTAAATTCATATGTATAAAATAGTTAACAGAAGCTACTATTAATATTTATAACAAATTTAATAAAAAAATTATATTTATCATAAAATTTGTGACAATTAAATTAATTTTCGTTACATACTTTATAACTTATTTTCAATTAACTTTTTATTTATATTGTTAGACTTAAGTATTGTTAGACTTAAGCTTAGAAAAAGAGTTCAAATTATTTTTTTCTTTACAATTGCTTTTGTTTATTTGAAATTACATGAATCTGAAATTTAGAATACAAATTCTAAGTACATAAATTTAAATGAAATTTATATAATTACACAATTCAGTTTTTTTTTTAGGAATTATTAATTGATTATTAATAAATTAGGATAATATACTAAGTTTACTTGTTTGTCAGATATTTTCCATAAAAAATAATAAATTAGAATTTAAAACTAATTCAAAATTTAGTAAACAGTAACACTAAATAAAATTTAACAAGTTATAATAAATCATTTATAAATAATATCTGCTTTATAATTTGTATAAAAATACTTAGATTAATAATCTATTGTTAATATAAAATTATTTAGAAAAAATTTTGAAATGATATATTGAAAAATTCATTATGAAATCTATTGTTTTTATCCATTTTTAAGTTCTTTTAAATTATCGAAAAAAGATATCGTTGTATCATAGATGGTCCATTTAGGAATTTATATGTTAGAATTCACAGTTCTATTTTTTTAGTTTTTATTATTTAAAACTATTAGATAATACTACTTTAATAAAACGCTGTACTTGAACGAATATCTTTTAAAGTTATTTACATATTCTTTAATATTTTATATATGAAATGTATATTTTAAATAAATAAGTAAATGAGATTTTCAAAAATATTATCATTTATTAAGAGCAGTTCGCAAATAAACGAATGAAATATTTTTAAAAATTATTTTAATATACATAATCATATACTATAGAAGATTTTATTACAACTACTATAAAATAATTTTTTACAATGTTTTTTTATTAACTTATGAGACATTTTTTATATTTCTAGTATTTCTTTAGAAATAATTTTTTATTGCGATTATTGTTATGAAAGCCTCTTTTCTATCGTTTTATAATTCTTACCCTTTTATATAATAAATTTTAAATATAAATTTTATAATCATTGCATAAAATTGTTTTTAAATTATTGAGATAAATGTTATATACATTTAAAATTATAGATATGTTTAAAATTTATACTTGATCACATCATTTACTAATAATATATTTCTATTGTAAAAAAAATATTTTGATATATTGATAATTTGATTATATACGCAGTAATTTTAATGGCAATAAATATAAGGTATTAATGTATAATAACAATAATATATCATATTTTTTATTATGAATGAGTAAGGTCTCAAGTTTAACATTTATAAGATTTTATTTATAATGATATACCACTATATTTATAATATTAGTCTTTTCTTAAATGAATTAGAAAAATAAAATTTTCAGCATTCGAAAATGTTTTATAAAATATTAAAATAAAATATTCCGAATATTAAAAATTTGTTAAATTAAACATTATCATGGTTCAAGTACTTAAAAGTATAATTATATTTTATAATACAAATTGAAAAGATATTTTAAGTATTGTACCGATTAATAAAAGAAAATTATTTTTTTAAAAATATCAATTTTTTACATAGAAATTGAATTTATATTTAATTAAATTTATTTTAACAACACAAAAGCATTAAATTTAATTTATTATTAGTCAATTATAGAAAAAAATATAATATCAAATATAGAAAACATTATGATGACTTAGATAACTAAAAGATTATTAGATAATATTTAATTATATAAAAAGAATATGTTAATGAAGAATGTTCAATCTTTTTTTTTGAATTTTATTATTTATTTTATAAGATATTCATATAAACTTGATGTTTTTTTCTAATTATAATCATTTATATGCTTTTATAATTCTAATTTTTGCATTGGTAAAATTGTTTCAATATTCAATCAGTACATTTATAATAACATTGTTGTGGAATAATGATATCTATTTCTTATTTGTAACATGAATGAAGTTTTAGATTATTTTTGTAGAAAAACTTATATATGTATATATTCGAGCAAATATTGATAATTTATGAAATTTAGGATTAAATTCATAAGTGAAGCTGAAGAGAGAACAGTTATAGATCAGAATTATTGCATATATTTGGAATAAATTTAAGGCAATGGCAATATTAGAGATACTAAGAGGAAATTAGAAATCGTTATTTATTTATGAGAAAATCGCAATTATTGAAATCGAGGTTTTCTCTAAACTTATCTTTCAACATATTTAAAAATAGTTTCATATTATAATTATGTTAATAAGTGCATCAATGTTTTAGAATAAGGTTGAAGTTTCAGTCATATTAAATATTTTTTTAATTACACTAATAATTTATCTATAATCTTGCTACAAATTAATCATTTCATATCTATTTCTCATTACATTATTTAGTATAATATAAGTACTTTGATATTAATGATTGATATTAATATAAAATTAAAATATATTTACTGAAAATATTAATTTCTCAATAGGGAATTTCTAATTATAATTTTGTATTGATAATAAATATAGTAATGATGAATAATTATGAATATGACAAAAAAAAATAATAAAATCAATAAATAATCATTAACAAAAATATATCATTGCTTCAATGCATTTAAAATGACACAATGAATTAACGATGGTAGTGTTAAAAAATATTCGTTGTTAAATATTAGATTACTTTGACTTACTAATTTTATAATTATAGCAAGATAATATATTTTAATTCTCATTGCTAACATTTCAAAGTACTCAAAAATAAAAGTAAGACGTTTGATTGCCAATGAAGGCCAATGAAGGCGCTGCACTTGCACCACTACCTCAAGTTCATTATCTCATAGAAATTAATAGATTTCAAAAGTAACAGGATTATGCCATTAAAGAATACATTTTTTTATTGAAATATGATCATAGATTAATTAGAATGAAGCATGTGTTTATTATTTATAAAGTAATCATTACATTAATTATCATAAATTTTGAATAATATTGAAATTCAAAGATATCTGAAAAATAAATATGAATATCATAATTATATAGATAATTGATAAAACTTTTATAGATTATTATTAAATGACAATAAAAAAATTAAAATAATACGATTATAGAATTTTCATTGACCTCATTTAAGGCTTTAAACACAGTTCGACAGAAAATTCTTTGACACTAAATGAGCGGGTAAATCATTTAGGCGGTAGTTGCTTAATCTGTTTCGAAGTAGTGATTAATGCTTATATTACTAGTAAAATAGTGAATATTAAATGAAGCTTCAAATTATGAAAAATATTAAACTGTCGGAAATCTTTAACAAATTATTGTAATCTGTAAAGTGTATTAAGTAACTACATAAATTAATATATTGCCATTATAAATAATATTGAAAAATCAATGTAATAAAATAATTTTTTTCCTGTGTAAATCTATTATTTAATTAATTTCAAAAGATTAAAGCATTGATCATTTTGGCAATTATTTCATTAACTTAAGGGTATCTTTCTCCAATTAAGTAAGTGAATTAATTTATAAAATAGATACATTGGTTTCATACTAAGTACTGATAAAATGATGAATAATCAGAATTTTCTCTATCATTCTTTAATACTATTATCAATCTATTTAAAAATGAAAACTCATGTTTCTATAAAGAAACTAAAAATTTTGCTAAGTTTTACATTCATTTTAATGTATTTCTTGATTTGAATTTTTTAAAAACAATTAATCTAAACGAATAAATAACAAATGTATAGATCCATATTTATGATAGGAATATATATAAAAATATAAAAGATAAATAGCAAAGAATAGAGGAATACATGAAAGATATATAAAAGTTTTTATCAGTCGGCTTATGCCATACTCAATATTATAAATTTTATACATGGAATTATACATTTATATATTAAAAAGTTTATACTAAATTTGATATTATTCTTTAATAGAAAAGTAATTAGTATGTAGTTCACTTTACTAATAATAAAATTATATAGATTCGGATGCATAATGTTATTTTAATTGGAAATGTAGAACAATTATTTATTTATTTTATTTATATTTATTTAATTTTGTATTTAGTACATATAATTTTACAATAGCCCATTTTATTGGTTTTAGATTATATATAAGCTAATATGAAGCAACAATAATGACACAGACATTGATTATACATAAAATATTATAATTAGATAGATAAATATTTAATAACACTGTATTAAATATTGAATTATACCATCTTTATAGTTATTACATTAAATATTTGGCTTATGAACTGCGGTCATAGTATGAAGAAAATTGTATGAATTAGTGCATCAGTTTCATTTTTATACTGTAAAGGCTCTGAGTTTTTAGGTTTTTCTGTAATACGTTTTTAATAAGATGATAAATATATCATTATTTTATTCGTAAATTTACAAGATTAATAAAGATTTCATTGATTTTCAATATCTTAAAGACACATTTTGAGTATTAAGAAATATGAGCTGTAGTTAAATTTTTTATAGCTTTTAGAATGGTTATATAATTGTAAATTATATAATTCAAATCTTTACATAATTTGAAAATAAAATCTTAGTTTAATTGATTTATTTTATCATGCACAGTAATAATTAAGTTAATTTAAATTTAAAACATACAAAAGGTTAAAAAATGATCTAAATGTATTCTTAATTTTCTTATACATTAAATCACCATTTTTAGTTAAATAATTAATTACAATTTATATTCAAGACTAAACATTGTATTTCTTTACATTATACGAACATTTTCTTAACGTTATTTATCTAATAGTATAAAGAAATTCCATTGTTACCGTTTTCAACATAAATACTTCCGACTAGTATATTATTAAAAGAATATTTTGTAAATTCTTTCCTTACATAACGGTTAGAATTAAATACATTTTATTGAAATTTATTTGATTTTTTGTCATAAGTGAAAATATTATAAAACTTTTTAGTTTAATTTTTACAATTATAACATTTGTAAGAATAAAAGTTTGTTATATTTTAATATCTCATTTATTAAATTTAATCAATACAAGTTACAATATAAAGAAGTCGAGCATTTTATGTAATTTTAGCAATCAATAAATATTGTTTTTGATAGTATTGATGTTGAATATTGTTATTAAATAACAGTATAGTAATATTTAGTTTTTAAACAAAATTTAATTTTTTTTTATTTTTCATGCGAAACCTTAACATTCATTATTCTTATATTTTTATTTATGTTAGTAGGTGATGTTTGTTGATAAAACAATTGATTAATTTTCGTAGAAATATATGTAAGTAATAGTTTGATTCAAATTTTTAAAATATATTGATGGATTTTATAAACATTGGTGACTTCATAAAATTTTCAGAAAAATCAACATTATAAAATATATCATTTAAATTTATTATATGTAAGAAATCCTTTTACTTTTATATTTTTATAAAATTCATGTATTAATGAAAATTAAGTAGTAAAAGATAATTTATGAGCTAACATTTGGCTTTTATCTTCTGGGAATATTGAACAATGTTAGGATAAAAAAAATTATTATTTAGTGCTGGCTGAATAATTATTTATATTATTATTATTTATTTTCTTTTTTTAAACGATTTTTAATAAAAAAAATCTTTGAATCTTGATGCATTGGAATGATTAATTTGTCTCAGTAAGAATATCCACCAAATACTATCATTGCTTTATCACCATTTATTTGCAGCACACAGTATCAACAAATATTAGTAATATTTACATTTAGCCCAGTTCCATTTTGTACTTACGCCTTTACTGCTCTGCATATCCAATCATCCATACAAACAGTGACACATTTCCTCATGTAGTTGGACACACATTGATTATTCGGCAGTGAAATAATGAAAGAACAATGAGCATTCATTATTATCGCTCATATATCAGGGCTCTAAAGCTTTTCTAGTCTTATCCGTCGGATAAGTTGAAATAAAAGAGCCAAGGAATTGAACTCAGGGTTGCGTTTCGGACAAATGTAGGTAGGGCTGGGATGGCGAAGCAAGTTTAACGTGAGTAAAGCGGGAGACAGTTGTACGGGAGGCGTGCGAGTCCACGTACATCCTCTTGTTTTCTCAGAGACACGCGTCATGAGTCTTGCGAGACTCCTCGGCAAAAATGTTACCTTGCGCTTCTGTAAAACGAAAGGCTATGGAAATAATACCTCGCGACTCATTAGTGTAAGTTTTATTGATACCTCATAGATAAATTACGATGTAATTAGGTGTATGCATAACATTGCTAGTATCATGGAATTCTTACGACTGTCGGACACTGTTCGGGGGTTTTGTTGAAACTTTGGTCCTTTGTATTTGGGAATTGGCCGCATGTGAAACGAAATTGCAGACGCGTGATAAATGAGTCGGTTGTGCCTTCGCTGGAAACTGATTGGGAGCGTCGTTGGGTAACAAAGTATTGAACTCATGGGAGGATTGCATTTTCTCATCTCCCATAGATTGAGGGATGTATAATTCAGCGGAAGCTGCGAATATGGAGTCAAGATAAATCATTATGTCTACTTTACTCCTTGTCGTTTTCGTTTGTGCATTTTCACAGGATCTAATAAGTATATTTTTTCAAATTTGTCAATTAATCATTGA